CCTTACCCTGAACCAGAAAGCAACAGGAAGCGGCGGATACAAGTGCAGACCACAAAGGGGCGGACGTGAAGGACGGTAATAAGTGACGACCAACTCGAGAGGCTTGAAGTCTCACTGAGCGGTAACGACGACAGAAGAAGAAGAAGAGAAGGGCGGCAAAAGGGTGGCGCGACAACGTGGAGGGCTCGACGTCTCTGCAAAGGCGGGATAAAGAGGAGAAGCGCAACAAGACCCAACGCCAAGAAGGACACCGGTAAAGACGGACGGAGCTTCAGCCTACAGGNACAAATCCAAATTCAGAATAATCCCACTCCTTACCCTGAACCAGAAAGCAACAGGAAGCGGCGGATACAAGTGCAGACCACAAAGGGGCGGACGTGAAGGACGGTAATAAGTGACGACCAACTCGAGAGGCTTGAAGTCTCACTGAGCGGTAACGACGACAGAAGAAGAAGAGGAGGGCGGCAAAAGGAGCAAGAACATGATGTATTACAGAACATGTGATTATGCCAGACGCATTTGAAAGGTTGAGAATAAAACATCCTGAAAGTCCATATTATTGACCTCAAAGCTTCTTATCAGACATACAACTCAAGAAACAGAAAAATCTTGAACAAGTGAAGCAGTTCATATAAAGTTTTACATTTTACATTAATCTTATTTTATTTTACTTACATCTGTACATTACTTTACACAGAAATGATGATATTTGTACATATAATACTGTGATGTGACTGGCACCACAACTACCTTAGCAGAGCTCTTACATGGAATGCAACATGATACGAACAAAAAGACAAACCTCCACCCATCCATCCACATGACAGTTCTGACATGGAAATGTACACTCAAAATGCCTAATGCTACGATGTGGACTACGGCACATGGTTTTAACAAGCTGGTAAGTACTGTAGGTTAAATGCACATTGTAAGGAATGGACAGACATAGCTGCCAGGGGTCACTTAGTCCTCTAGGTTGCGGAATGCCTGCTGGATATCTTCATGTAGCTGTTCAAAGTCTGCTTTAATCTTCTGTTCTCCATCTTTCACTGGGTCCTGTCAATAACAAAAATTATTACCATATATGGAACAAAAATAGATTTAATAATGATTTACTTTCTATCCTACAATGCTTTGCAGTATCAACTAGCTTCTTACTAAATCAGTTTAGCCTTGTCTAAAAACTTGTTAAAAACAGCTTCTTCACTCTTTTTCAGTGCAAATATGATACTGCTGGTATTAAGGTTCTCACAGCAATGACAATGAAGGGTACAATCTTCTGGGATATGACACCATACAGTCCAAACAAATTTATTGACATTCTGCCAAAATGTAAATGAACTTTTGCCAGACTACACAGCACTACATTCCAGACAACAGTACTCCCCACTTGTATTTGTTCTTAAACTGTTAATTATTAAATTCTTTTTAACACTTTTTTCCTCCCTAAGTACCAAAGGTCTGATTCTGAACTTTGAAAGACAGATGGTACCATAATGCTGGCAGAGAAAAAAGAAAATTTAAGTTTCTGGCATGATATCTCATACATACAGATGGGGTAATGCTATTACCTACATTTACGACTACTACAGGCACTGGTTTTGTGATACGTTTACATATATGTATAATCTTACCTATAGTATTTTCTTCCATATATGTTTTTAGAACACTTTCTGCACTATTTTTATATATTTTGACCTAATAAACTGTGATCATCTTGCACCCGTATCTTATTTAGACTGTTCAATATCACCCCTTCCACTTCTCTTTGACTGATAAATTCACACTCTACATCAAAGCACAGAATCACTCAGGATAGTGAACACCCTCGTCCACTGTGCATTCTAAATAAGCCACCAAACTTCATTAGTCACCAAATGCATACACAATATGATTATATTAACATGTTTCCAAACTGAATTAACATGTTACACAGCATGTACTCCTGAATGACTGACATGAACATTTTTCAAAATCAATGAGCAGCTGATGTAACAATCCTTCAATCGTTTTTTTTTTAACTTTCTAATGTACACTAAATGAAAATTACAAACTCGATGGTCTTGGTACGCAAGCAAACTATACTGACCAACTTTAGTGGACAGAGGGTGTCACTTGGTCAGCACAATGAATCCCCCATGGCCATTAATTTCGGTTTTCTAGACTGGAGCCGCTATTTCCTTGGAATAGCTCAATTATCCTCACAAGCCTGAATGGACCCCATTCTAGGCCCACTATTTCTCAGAAAATCTGGTAGTGTCAGGAATCTAACCTTGACCTCTGGATCTGTAGGCAGGAACTCTGACCACTAGACCAGAGGTGGTCATGAATGGTATGAAGCTTCTCAAAATAATGTCAAACAAAATTCTGTATGAAGTAAACAAAATAGAGATTCATCAGAAATGAAAACCGTCACTTCATTATCCAGTTTTATGAGCAGGAATAATAACAAGGTGTTTCCCATAATGTGGCATTTCTTCTTCATTCCAAATAGAAATTTTACATCTGTAATTTCAATATCTTGGAGTTCCTTAAATTATGTGATGGAGGTCAAAGTTTTTAACACCAACTTCAATTTCATCAAAGCCTGCTTCTGAAATTAATTAGTTAGCAGTATGTACTTCTGTCCATAAAAGTTCATCAGTTCCATGAATACCTGGTACTTTATACAAGATGCATCTAATCAGAGTGGCATTTGAATCTGAAATTTAAACATTCTTGTCCTTTATTAAATTTATCTTTCAGAGGCTGGCAGTATTTCTCCTAACCCATGTAGCATACATCTATAGAAATTTCCATTTTTTTGTTCTGTTTCTCACCTCAAACAGCTCATCAGTTTATTCTTTTATTTCCCATATTTCACATTTATCTCATTACAAAACCTGCTATCATTGTAATATAGCCTGCTTCCTTTATTTTACTAATTTAAACCGCTCTTCTATGGAACTTCAATTAATTCTGCAAAATCTTATGATGGACCAGAACCTCTTAAGCTGCAAAGCAATATGACAGACTGAAGTTTCTGACATTTTACAAGAAATATGATCTGAACTGAGAGTTCCAGTGTACATGGCCAAACTGAAAGGAATAAAATTCTGATGGTGGACATAACTGATGATGAAATTCATGGTATAAATTATGGTAATTAGTATAAAGTTATATCAGGAAAAGCATCAACAAAGTGTTATGTAGTAATCAATGAGATTATTAGACCATTTTCATATTCATAAGAAGCATAATAGATCATTGAAGGTAGCAGTGCAGGGGCTGGTTTTTATGGTCCACCCCTTACATACATATTCATGAAGAGAACATGCCTGGAAGACCAGAGTGGAACAAAGCCATGAATGGTTATTCACTACATAGTAATGTCTTCTTTACTGGCATGACAACCCTGTGTGGGTCTTGGCATCCTCCATGGACTGGAAGTTTCGTAACAGTAAATTTTTCTAGGGCAGGCTCATTAGCCCCATGTCCAGCCCCCAACCTGGAGGACCAGGGACTATACCTCGTCTGACCCCTACACTGACTTGTCTGGCAAGGGTGGCTCTACTAGGAGCTTACAATTCCATCAGCACAGCTCTCTAGGTCACTGGGGCAAGCAAACCTCTCCAAAATATGGCAGTAGTCCTCAAAAATTAGAACCAAGGAATGCTTGTCCACAATTCAATAAACAGCAAAAATCACAAAGAAATGCTAATATTAAGTTTATATATTGAAAATATTAAGCCAAAACACTAAGTATCCACAATGTATCATAAACTTACTTTACAGAGTCCATGATCTGAGTAATGAACCAAACACATGCATGGAATTTATAATTTATAACAGTTTTTGGTGTGTGTTAAAAATATAGCTGGGGAATTAAAGGTTATACTGAAAATGTAACACTTCTAGGAGCTAATATAAGCCCTCAAGGTACCAACAAACACTTGTAAAAACTTGTTAGCTACAAGTACAAGGTTAGGTTGTGAACAGTAACATTTCCAAACTTCATGCTGTACAGCAGACCTCACAACTTCCAGTAAAGTTATGCCATCACATCACACACCTTGAATTTCATGGAGGACAACTGGTATAGAATCTGGCCCATGCTATCTCGGATCACACCCCAAGTGATTTTGTTTTCACTCTGTGCTGTTGACTCCACAGCATGTCGTGACATATCATAGAAAGCTATTATATTCTTCAGCATGCCCACTGTCTTGTAGAATGGGCAGAAGCGATCATATGGGGAATAGCTGAAACATAACAAAAAGAGCAAACTACTTGAGAAGTGCAACCTTCTTTCTATTTATGATCCATTTTAGTATTATTCTCCTATTTACACCTATGACAATATGCACCTTTGATTAGATCATAAGCTTATGTTCAGATATTAATTTAGATTCAGAGACAAATTTCACTGCCAAAAGAGAAAGACGTTTTTATAGTTGTTTTGAAGTGATCATAAGAAACACACCCTAAAGCAAATTGAAAGTATAACAAGGGAAACAATTTTAAAATAAAGATTCAGTGAAAAATACAAACATTATCAATGTACTGAATTTATTAAATGAAAACATAAGTACCTGTTGTAAGATTTGAGGCTTTCACGGCGGTGACTATGAAGAAAGCAGTCTTCCAGGATTTGGCACCGTGTATATGTGGTGTTAACCGACGTTTCGGAGGAACGTATCGCCCCCATCTTCAGGGTAGAAGAAAAAGTATAAGAAATCTGCAAGCGACAACACCGTGAGAAACGGTACCATTTCTCACGGTGTTGTCGCTTGCAGATTTCTTATACTTTTTCTTCTACCCTGAAGATGGGGGCGATACGTTCCTCCGAAACGTCGGTTAACACCACATATACACGGTGCCAAATCCCGGAAGACTGCTTTCTTCATAAGTACCTGTTCTTTGCCAAGGATACCATTGCTGTCCTTTCAATATCACTACATACAGCAGATAAAATTTTAAGGAACAAATAAGACTCAAATTAAAAAACCAATGATCCTCACATAAAAAAAAATCCTAAAGTGAAATGAAGATTCAAATCTCATCCAAAATTCAACTGCAATACTTGCATACAGTTTCAATAACAGTGCCTACCAAAAATATTGTCAAAGTATGGAATAATGTCATATCTTATTATATACACTATTAAATCAGAGGTAGGAAACAGACTGTCAATATTAAAATATACTGCTACTAAAACTGTAAAGGAATACCACTTAAATTATGAAATTGTACAGTCACATAATTAAGAAAATGGGAATGAGAATTTGCACCACATCCATAAACTTTATCACAATACTTGTGCAGCACTTTAACAGTCACAGCTGCCTTACATATCTGGGAAAGTATGGTTCAATTGTCATAATATCTTTGGGTGTTCTCTATTACATCAGTACTCGTAGCTGGAAAGATGAAACTGTTAAAAAATTATCAGGAAAGTTACACAACATACATGAACACACACGTGCACACAAAATAAAATATATGAAGCTTAAATAGGGCAGTGAACAAACATCAAAGTGTTAACATAGCTCTCTGGCTAAAGCGGTACCCTAGAAACCTTTCACTGTGGCATCCAGAAATGTAAATTTCTTGCATACTTTAAGGATACAGAATTACAGAGAAATGAGAAAAGAAAGCAACAAAGAACATATGAAAGATCAAGAAAATTAAAGGAACAAAGAGACAAATCAGACAGTGATATACAAATTAGCAAAATATCTCAGTAATATGCAAATTACTTTAAAATGTTGGCCTTTGGTACAGTTCTGATCTGAATATAGTATAGCTGGAATACACTGTGAATAATTTTCTGTTGGAATAAATCTGTCTATTCCTTGACATTTCAGTTATTACACAAATCCTATCCTTTGCTATGACTGACATCTTCAATAAAGATTTAGTGATCTTTTTCATGTTTCATAAGCATTTTTGTGAATTTTTTTTCTTTCAGTTTTAATCTTCAGTAGAAATAACTTTACAACATTGTTGATTTGGTTGTAGATTCCACTGAACTTCAACCTCCACAGAGTAACCACTGGACAAAAGGAGGTCAATAAGCATCAAAGAGGGGGAAGTAAAAATTTTGTTTCTCTCAGCAGACATCATGAATCATAAGCACTTTAACTCCACTTCATTAATTACAATAAAGCTCTAATGATTATTTGCTGTTTTATATTTATATTTATATGATATTGTGGAGGGAGTGGGAAGCAGTGGGGATCACACTGCCAGACCTTAATTTTCCTGTCGTTCAGTTGAAATATCAACATTCCCCTCTTCTGGATTATTTGAGAAACCACTCAGCTGACATCACGGAAAAGTGAATGAAATGCCTATATAATGTAACCATGGAAGTTGTTGCTAGTTCAGTTCAATGTGGTGCAGAAGCAGAAATCTCATGAACCATTGTTCAGTTAGTGCAATGTTAGTGAGTCAGTAAGTTAGTTGATTAGTTTGCAGTTCATTTCAGTGACAAGACAAAAGAGAAAAGAGAGGAGTGCACTGACTGAGTAGTAGAGCTGCAGCGAAATAACTGGACGAAGATCTGACCTCAAGAGCATAAGTGGTTATAGAAGGTTGGACAGTAACGTTCCACAAGTTGATAAAATACTTATTATCAATAATACCACACAAACTGAATGCAAAAGGAAGGTGGGTCACATGCTAAAAGCATGCACCTATCATTCACCAAAGGTTCCAGGCCTCTTCCCTCTTTATGCATCTTCTAGAAATGATGTGTGCTGCATCCCTTGCATGTGCACAAGACTTTTCTAGAAACATAACTTGTATCAAACATTGGTTGCAATGCAAGGACAGAGAAGGTGAATCTCACTGAACTTAGAAGCAGTGTCCAGTGTTCATGTGCGGAGAAACAGTTCATACTATGAGATGAAAAGTTGGTTCAGTGCTGACAGCAACAGAACACAAGAAAAGAGCAGTGACGGTATGATCAAACAGTAGTGGGCTACACAAAGTGACATTAAATCTTATGTGGCTACTGACAGTCCCAAAATGTAACAAATATCACAATATACTGGCACAACAGTTTCTAACTTCTACAGCATTACATGTCATGCTTTAACAACAGAAAGAGATAGAGCAGAAAGAAACCTGCTACATCTCTTTCAAGAAATGCAGGCTACACACCTACACCAACCACAATGGTGTATTCAGACTAGCAACACGTGGTTCTTACTGTCAATAAATGTGCTTTGTATCAACAAATGGCACCAATGTACCTGTTCTGCTGCAGGAAGTCATCCTTCAGTAACTTGGCAACCTCAAGGGTGATCTTGTCTGTCTCAGCAAGGGACGCCTTGCCAACAAGCTGAACGATTTCAGACAAGTCCTCCTCTTCCTGAAGAATCTCCTTTACTTTGGTTCTCAATGGCACAAATTCTGGGTAATTCTTCTCATAGAAGTCATCCAGAGCACGCATATACTTGCTGCAAGAATGATGGGAAATGTGCACTCCTTTCTCATCATACAGCATGATATCAAGAATAATGGCACAAATAAAACTCATTAAAAATGCTCTTTTAATGGCATGCAGCTTGTCTCATAATTCAGCAATATGAAACTTGTGTGTTTTCTTATTATTATTATCTCTTTTAGATGAGCTTAAAAGTTATGCTATTCGGCAAAAAGCCTTACATTTTCCCACATTTTACATTCGTTTTTTTTTTTTTTGGTCATGGCCAAAGTCTCATATTTTTTTCCCTGGACCAGTCTCAGTTCCTTGAATGACAATTCAGATTTTCTACTGGACATGACTGCCTTACAAAATAACATACATTCATAGAACTGGAAATCTTGATGTATCAAACAGCATGCTTCCCAACAAGCACACAGAGATTAATGCAAACTATCTCCTGAAGTATGATGTTCTATTAAAATTACCTGTAAGAAATCAGCCAGTTGATGGACGGGAAATGTTTGCGCTGTGCCAGCTTCTTATCAAGGCCCCAGAACACCTGCACAATACCCAGCGTGGCAGAGGTAACAGGGTCAGAGAAGTCTCCTCCAGGAGGTGACACAGCCCCCACAATACTGACTGATCCTTCACGATCTGGGTTACCAAGGCATTTCACTCGGCCTGCACGCTCATAAAAGGACGCTAATCGTGCACCCAAATATGCAGGGTAACCACTAGAAAAGGTACAAACCCACACTCAAATAATCCCACAAGTGACTTACTGGCGGATAAAATATATAATGACATACTGTCATGTGGAGACAACAGTGAGCTGAGAAAATGCACAAGATATGGAAATGATACAGGATGCCTACTTTCCTTTCAATTATTCCATCTTAAAATAAAACTACAGGTTGAAGTGCTACTTGTACTTGGGCAATCTGAGCATAATATTCACCATTAATAGATTTCCAACATGAAACAACCTTGTTTCTGCCCCTTCAAGTTACTACTTTCCACATTAACTTTAGTTCAGGACTTACACATATTCTACAGCCTACTACCACATGCCTAGCTATGACGACTTGTTAAAATATAGTGGAAATCCATTATTATGACATTACAGCAGAAGATTCATCAATCTGGACTACCACAATGTCCAAATTTAATCTGCACTTCATTTGACAGGTTAAATTGATATACTGAGTGACACTATGAGTTTTGAGGTACAACTGAAACAATTTTTACAATTACATTCTTTTTATTCTTTATAGGAATATTTCCCTCTTCATTGGTGTCAAACTGTCAGAACTCTAATACCATAAGGTAACACAGATCCTTCATAGTGTATACTACAAGACACACATACAACTCACCTGTCGGCAGGCATTTCTGCCAGTCGTCCAGAAATTTCTCTCAGAGCCTCAGCCCAGCGGGATGTAGAATCAGCCATCATGGATACATTGTAGCCCATGTCACGGAAATATTCAGACAATGTAATACCTGCAACAAGATATACTGAAACTCAGCACTGCTTCACAATTACAGCAGATGCACAAACAGGGTAATTTTAGTTCCTCTGCTGAAATGAAATAGGACCTCATGATATTCTCTTCACACTCTCATGATTTTGAAAGAAAGTGCTGTGACCTGCCTGAAGCACTATCCCAGCATCTGCCTGGAGGGACTAAGGAAAAATATGAAAAACCTAAGTGAAGATGCTTAAGCCAAAATTCCAGCTAAGATTCAAACTGATTACTCTACTTGGTGCATTTGTATCATATTCTGGTAATGCATTTGTAAGAAGTTAATACAGTGAAAAGAAATAGTCACATATCATGGCAGAAATGTTACCTTACATTTAACATTATTATGTCATTGGAATAAATACTTCTTACCAAACTGAAACTGATTGACTTGAATCATGACAGGGTCCAATACCACTGAGAGCTGTATACATGAAACAAAGTATTCATTAATCACATTTTAATGAAAAATTCTTGTCAAAAAAAAAAACACACACACACACACACAATACTTTCACAATTAAAATTACCTGTGTAGATAGAAGCCTCTCGGGCAGCAACAGGCATATTTGATGTGTTGGCAACAAGAGCTGTTCGCTTCATGATTGATTCAGTATTGCCTTCTATCTCCACTGTCAGCTCAGGGAAATCACGCAGAACCTGCAAAATGCGATAATGCAACACTCAGCCAACTAGACTGCATGCATGCATGGTTACAATACTGCAACACACAGCAAACATACTTCATTAAAAACGTCAGTAATTCAGATGAGAGTGAACAATGAATTTTGGAGGATGTGGAAGGAAGCGGCCACGACCCACTTTAAAGTACTGCCACAAATTTGACTGGAGGCACTGACTAAAACCATAAAGGACATCAATCATGGTAACTGACTTACCAATCTAGATTCAAATCAGTACCTCCCCAATACAAGTCAAGCTTTACCACTTGACACAACTTGCTCTGTATAAAGGACATAAAATCAGAAATAACAAATATACACAACATATAAGAATACTGCAACCGAATGCAGGTGCAAAATCATATGAACCCTTGGAGCACAAAAATGTAGAAGAGATTGTAGAACCAGCCAGTAACACTCAGTACGTACACAGTTTTATGCCTGATTCCTGAAGGCAGCTACAATAAATCAATGAGCAACTTCAATTACTGTCAAGAAACAGAAAACAATTTTTGATGCACACTCTCAAATGAATCTTATATAATGTTAACACTTTGCGGACCGCGCACGCATTAATACATTTTCCGCTTTTAAACATGGCGGACCAGTCACGTATTAATACGTTTTTAGAACACGATAAGTTGCAACACACTATACATCGCTTTGATGCCACCCAGCTTCCACGTAGCTGCCTGCAGCTGCGTGATAAGCCTCTGGAATGTTTGCTGACTAATCAGTTATGTGACCTCGCTGTAACTGTATGCCCCTGCAAAGGAAAATAAAAGTCTTTATTTCTTCAAGCTGTACGTAGCAAGCTGTCAGTGAGTAGTGCAATATGCAAACATATGATCCTGGGAAACTTACAAAGTATGGCCTACTTGTTCATGTAGTTACTGAAAGCACTTCAGGCTATATTGGAAATTTAGATTTTATTCTGGTGAAGGAAAGAAATTACAAGAAACTACTCTTTCCATTTTGGAACCCTATCTTGATTAAAATTACCATGTCTATCAAGACAATTATTATAACAGTGTGGCAACTGCAGAACACCTACTTTCGAGAAAAGTACGTGTTTGTGGAACAATTAGGGTGAACAGAGGCCTTACTCCAGATCTGAAAGAGGAATGTAAATCCCTGAAACGTGGTGAAACCACATGCAGGAGGAAGGGGGATATTCTTCTTCAGTCCTGGAGGGATACTCGTGTTGTGAATATGATTTACACAATTCACAATTCGAGAATGGTTGATGTTCAAAGGAGACATGGACAGGTAAAGAAGCCTGTTTGTATTTCCAAGTATAATATGTTCATGAAGGGAGTTGACAGAGCCGATCAGTACTTGGCCTATTATTCTCTTCCTCGGAAAACAGTAAAGTGGACAAAGAAAGTTGCCTTATGGCTTATAAATTGGGCCATTTTCAATTCATTTTTGGTTTTCAAAAATCTAAACCCTCATTCAAAATTGAAATACAGGGCATTTCTGCTGAATGTGGCAAAAGCCTGGGCTACAGACCACACTGTGGTGGCAGACACAGTCTTAGTGCGACCGGGCCCGTCTACTCCCACTCCACACAGGCCTCATGTGGACACCCCTGGGCGACTCTCGGGTGATATGCGGAAACGTACCCTCATGAAAATTGTGAACAGTGAACATTCCAAGGGGAAGCATCCTTCTAGGCAATGCCGTGTTTGCGCAGTTCACAAAAAAGGGACTATGACTGTCTACATTTGCAAGTGTGTGATGCCACTTCACAAAGGGGAATGTTTCCAGAAATATCACACTCTCAAGCACTTCTAGGAGCATTCGTATGTGTTCTCCAAAAATTTTTAAAGTGAACAGTGCACAAGTTAGGGTAGTAGGTATAAAAATGACTGTCCTCAGTGTAACCGTCCCACTGCTACGCAACTTAATTTATTGTAATCAACTTTATTAATTTGAAGGCTTAATTGTTCAAAATGAAATGCAGTGAACAAGGGTAGTGAGACATAGGTCAATTCTTGTATGTAAGAGTAAGCGTCTTCCCAAGCTTACAACAAGAAACAGGAAGACACCCGTCAAAGGTTTATTAGTGGAAAGTTGTGTTGGTGAACGGTTAAAGAAATCTTTTGTAAATTCAGTACTTGGCAGTTTGTGCATGCCAGAACTTAAAAAGAGTGAAGTTTTTAGGGCCCAAGCGACGCTTAAGCATTTGTCACTTTCTGACAGAAATACGCTGGAGTCAAAAATCCTCAAACGCTTGTAAGCTTTAAACGGAGTGGAGGAACATGTAATTAAGATACTCCTATTTTTCAAAAATAGCCGAAGAATATGCAATTAAGATACTCCTATTTTTCAAAAATAGCCAATCACTGAAATTTAAGGGTGTGACAGGGCAGTGACACTGGTGAAAGCCAGGATTGAATGTCAGAGGAAGCGTCATGTTTTAGCATCAGTCGGAAACCGGGGGTTGAAAAGACTAGACGTAAAGTCGTAAACCGGGGGTCGAAAGAAACAGACGTAAAAGGTCGAAAACCGGGCTCCGAAGGAAATAGACACAAAATTTTACACACGGGGCTCCGAAGCAGTTAGACATAAAAGTTACTGATATTGAAGTTGTATCAAGAAGTGGTTAAAAAAAGTGTTCAATAATATAATTTGTCTAAACTAGAAATGTGCTTTTAAAGTGGTGTTCATTTATTCCTTCTCTGAGTTGTGGCCCGTTCAAGGCTCTGAGATAAAGAGACCCTCAGCTCTACCGAAGCAACGAACCTCACCTCCTTGTAAATCAAAAATAACCCTGAGATAAATTTAGCACAAGAAAGAAGAACCTACTAGTGGCGACCAGCGTGCGTGGAAGAAGAAGAAGAAGGTAGGAGGTAGAGGGAGAGAAAAGGGCGGTAAGATCAGGGTGATTTAAATATTTAAATCACCAGTCCGCAAAGTGTTAAACAGTGGCTGTAATAATAATGCAAATGTACAATATTTAAAACTACTGTGAGAATGCTTTTCAGAACTGAAGTCATACCAAATTATATAAAAACTGTCTTAGAAACAGAGATAATTTCACAAAATACTGGAATTTTAAGGAATAACTTGACACAGCTTACTACCTAGAAAGAATCGATTAAATCAATACTATCAGTAACGAACTTGCATGTATTCCATTTTCAAGAGACTTCAAAAACAAAAATTTGTGGCAACGCTATACAACACAAAGACTTGTAATTACTGGTATACCTTTCCCCTCTTATTTACATCTGCAGTTCTGGGGTGTGTGGATCACAAGAAGACCGAAGTAGTAAAGAAATGGAGAAGATACTAGATACCCACCTCGGACATTTCATTGCCTCTCTCCCCGCACCCTACATAAATGATGACATCTGAGTTGGAATATTTCGACAGTGACTGTGAGATAACAGTCTTGCCACACCCAAAGGCTCCAGGAATGGCAGTGGTGCCACCTTGCACACATCTGCAACAGTCAAGCCACAGAATATAAAAGTACTGTAGAAAATACAACAGCCCAACACAGTACGGCTCATTAAAACACAAATTTAATACATCACATGTCAAGACTTCTCACATCAAAAAGACAGTGGCCCACTGCTAAACCTGTAACTGGTGTTATGGTTAATATTCTGCATGTACTCAAAAACCTGTTTATCTATGATTCTACACTTTTATTTCAAAATTAACACATAAAATTCAAGAAATTCAAAGCACTTCAGGATACAAGGTGTGGCAATAAAGAAACCGGATTCATGCTCTAACCCTTTATTAAAAAAAAATCAGACAGTCGAAATGTTATCCCCTTCAATGTAGTCCCCTCCCCGATCCCTACACCGCTCCATGCGAATTTTCCACTGTTGGAAGCAGTGCTGCAGGTCATCTTGTGTTATGCTCTTCAAGAGTTGCGTCGCTTTTGCTTTCACTGCATCCACGGACTCGAACCTGGTCCCTTTCAGCGCAGACTTGATTTTTGGGAAGAGAAAAAAGTCGCACGGTGCTAGGTCCGGAGAATACGGTGGATGTTCCATCACTGGAATGTTGTTTTTTGCCAAATACCTCTTCACAGATAGCGCGTTGTGTGCTGGCGCGTTGTCGTGATGAAGAACCCATGAGGCATTCTTCCACATGTCTGGTCTCCTTCGTCGCACACGTTCACGGAGGTACGTCAAAACATTTTTATAATAAACCTGATTGACAGTCTGACCTTCAGGCACCCAATCAATGTAGATTACCCCCCGGATATCGAAAAAAACAATCATCATTGCTTTGAATTTGGACTTGCTCATGCGCGCTTTCTTCTTCCTAGGGGATTTGGGGCTCTTCCAATGCATGGATTGTCGCTTAGTCTCTGGATCATATTGAAGAATCCAAGTTTCGTCACACGTAATTACGTTTTGGAAGAAATCAGGATCATTTTCAATGTTTTCAAGAGTGTCAACACAGCAATTCACTCGATGTTCCTTTTGCTGGGGGGTAAGGATTTTTGGCACCACTTTAGCACACACCTTTTTCATGCCCAGATCGTCGTGCAAAATCTGTCTAACACTTTCCTTATTGATGTTCGTAAGTTCAGAAATTGCTCGAATGCTCAGTCGACGATCTCTTCGAACAATTCTAGCGACCTTCTCCACATTCTCTGGAGTTTTCGCAGTGGGAGGACGGCCCGATTTTGGATCGTTCCCGACGTTTTTCCTACCCTCCATAAACTTCTTAAACCACTCGAAAACTTGCGTGCGAGATAGACACTGATCACCATATACTTCTGTCAACAAATTGTAAGTTTCAGTGGCAGATTTTCCAAGTTTTGTGAGGAATTTGATGTTAGCACGTTGTTCTGCATTAGCACTCAGCATTATTCCGACGGAGCTCAGAAACACGATCCGCTTCTAACAATGGTCGCGGCCAGACTAACCGATGCACGTGAATGAAACTTTGTGTGACGGTAGAGGGAAGTCCAAGGGTCAATGCCCTACCCTCCTCTTCGTCAATGACGTGGCCGGAAATGAGTCATAAAAGTAATCCGGGTTCTTTATTGCCACACCTTGTATGTCAGATTCAAAATTATTTTCTAGCTTCCTGGAGAATGTATCAATCCAGGAAGCAAATGTTACTTTATTTCTCTTCTTCTTTTGGGAACAGGAGACTGGAGCAAAGCATGCGATCCTGCCAAGACAGTAGTGCATGTGAAAGGTATAGGTATGTAAACATTTATCTGACGCTTTTCATGGTCACAATGGGTTGAAAAAAGGGGGGGGGGACAATTTATTCCCACTTCCTTTTAATTCTTCTCTAGAACACATCACCTCCACCCCACCGAAAATAGCAGAAAGGATTGGAACTGAATGACCAGGTACATATTTATACTGATGTTAATTTCTCAATTTTCATAGTTGTTATAAAATATGACAAGCCTGTGTCACCCTTTTACAGTAATCAGTGAAGTTCTGCTTAAGTAAAAAGAATAAGTGTCACAGGCACAGAAACCCCTTGTGCAGTTCCTTCTACGGTCATGCAGTAAATTACCACTGCACTGCTGCACGCAGTACATTTCTATTTCAACTGAATACTCTGTACTTTCCAATACTTAAGATCGGGGTATATAAACATAATTTTGCCAGGTTGTGGTATGGATGTGGAACATGGTCTCTTATTTTGAGGGAAGGACACAAACTACAAGTGTCTCAAACCAAAGTGCTCAGGGAAGTAAAAAGGATGATGTGAGCATAATAGAATATTACGTATCAAGAAACTTCATGATTTGCATGGGATGTTACTAAAATTGGTGTTGCTTTGATGGGCTGGGCATGTGATTACTATGGGGAAAATGAGGAATGCTTTCACAATTTTGGTAAAAACCTCTTGGGAAATGGCTATTTGGAAGACTGAGAAGCTGATGAGAGATGAATGGCTAGAACTGGCTGGGGATCATGTCCAATGGCAGGCTTTCATGTCAGCAGTGCTATACCTGTGGGACATGTTACCACACTGGCAGCACATAATTCTGGGAGCTATAACATGCCAAAAATAAAGACTGCAATGAAGCTAACGGTTAATAGAGAAAACTATGTTTTGAGAAAGTTCACAATATATTCTTCTCTTACGGGAACAGAGAATCCAACACACGCTGACCACATAGCAGTGGATAGTTGGCAGGGAGCTTCTCTGTCACGGGCCGGGGCTGACGTACAGGCCACACTTGCAACATAGTGTATTTGGAGCGCTCCCCATCAAATTCTGTCTCCAACACTATGTCCTGCAAAGGAAGTGAGGATTTGTTTGCTTAAAACATATGTGCTTCATCTTGCTACAGCTGAAGTATTTCTAAACATACGATAATAAGGCAAGGTAAACTTGTCCCTGTGCTTAACTAATTAAGCACTATGCCATGAAGGCATATGGGGGAGTGCGTGTAACAGATCCACATTTTCTTGAACTCAGCACTGGTTGGAGGTGAGTGTCAGCTTCACGCCCTGGCCATTTTACCCCCGGTACCCATTGGATAGCAGCTAGGTGGTCCCCAGAGGCGGTCTGGACAACATGGAGAAGAGAAAATTCTTGCCCCCATCATGACTCGAACTCTAACCCTTTCCTCATCCAGCCTGTAGCCAGTCGCTATACCAAGTAAGCTACCCCGGCTCCTAAACCTATGATAATACGAATATGGAAATATTAATTTTACCTGGCTTAAACAACACACAACAAAGATATATGGAGGAATGGAGGTAAAGCTCATGTATTCTTAACACATTTATTGCCATGATCCAATATCAGAATGCTAAGCTTCTAGGCGAACCACTTTTCCATGAAAACTTGATTTTGAGCTCAAAACATTTGAAATAGAAATGGAAGAGAACAAGCAAAAAATAATCAATACTTACTGGACCAGCAGTCCTCGAATGCCATTTATCAGCTACATAAAAGATTCTATGAGAATGGCATATTGTGCAGTAAGCAACTATTCACCACGTACACTTGCATGCACACATATATGCATGTGCACATATGCTTACACCATATTTGACCAACTCTAAAATTATCACAGTTCCAGTGGTAAATTTTAAGGAAAAATTACGATTACACATCCAGACAAAATTCTTGGGTACAATCCTTCTGCATAAAGGTAACATCTTTCCATTTTTTAATTCAAGTCAATTTCAGGTTCAACGACATTTTGAACCTTGCAATTTGTGTATCCATAGAATATCAATATCAAAATATTGCCACTATCATGATTTTGACTGTGGAGAATAAAAAACGTTCTAAACATAAAATCACATCTGAAAGATCTTCTCTTATGGAATGTACCTCAAAAGATGAACCTGTAGTCACAATCTAAAAGCTCATAAAATATATCAGTGCAGTCCATACACACCATTAAAAATGGTATTATTATTATTATTATTATTATTATTATTGGAGGGGGTGGGTTTCCCCATGCACCGCGACTAGTAGTCTATTGTACATCCCCCTTTGATGTTCTACCAGTCTCTATACCCTACCGGTACTGGTGCATGCCATCAGCCCCGACTCAACCAGCGAGTTGACCCTCTACTGGCTCAACGGTACCTGATGCTTCCCCCATCTACCAGAGGCGTTAGAGACTCTTGTTGGGCGGTAAATGTCCGATAATTTGGTTCAGAGGCCTCCTTGAGACATGAGGTTCTTTTACATGCCATAAAGCTACGACACGGGACCCACGGCTTAAAGTCCCTCCCGGAGGACTTGTACTCTGAATTTTTCCGCCCTTAAAAATTCCACAACCTCCGCTGGGTTTGAACCCGAAAAATGGTACTAAGTCAAATGCATCCTTCATCAAAGTAACAGCAATCAGAAAACCAAAACCTGAAATCTATGATACTGTTACTTATGGAACTTAGAACACATACTTTTCAAATACCTCTAAATCTAGACAGAGGTTGTCTACTATATGTTTGTTTCAGACTGACAAAAGGGAAATTAAAGTTCTGAAATGAACCGTATATACACTGCTAACACTTACATCAACTGTATAATTGCCAGGAGAAGCAATGTAAGTGACAGTACCCTTTGCCCGTGGGGGCAATAACAATTTGTGCTTCACAAGGGTGTTCTCATGAACAATCCCATACAGGTCACCTCCAGTGATGTGGCTTCCAACCTGCAACAGACAACAGGACCACTCAAACACTTGCATGGCTCCCAGCCTGACACTTCAATGAAATTATTTTATTCTCTTTGTCAAACAAGTAGGCAAATTAAATACTGGTAGAACACAATTTGTAGAAGTACAGCAATCAAACAAAAAGACCACAAATATAAGGCCATTTGCTTCATCATGTAAAGAAATAAAATATGGTGTACCTCAGGGTTCTGTTTTAGGACCCCTTCTGTTCTTGTTGCTTATAAACTACTACTCTGTCCAAAAAGTATCCAACCTTGGGCCAGGAAAAAAGTTCTGTATCTGGGTGGTTACAATACCTAATCGCCTTCAAAGTAGGCCCCTTGTGACTCCACACACTTAGCCCAGTGGTCCTTCCATCGCTGGAAGCAATTCTGGAAAGCTTCTTTTGGAATGGCATGCAGCTGCACTGTCGCATTCTGTATGATGTCCTCACGGCTGTCAAAATGGCAGCTCTTTTAGCGGTGTCTTCTATCTTGGGAACAGCCAGAAATCACAAGGAGCCATGTCAGGAGAGTAGGGAGCCTGGCAAACCTGCGGAATGCCGTGCTTGGCCAGGAAGCCCTGGATCAGGTGTGATGAACGAGCTGGGGCGTTGTCATGATGCAGCTGCCACTTGCGTGCATCCCACAGCTCCGGTCTCTTGCGCCGAACCACATCATGAAGATGGCAGAGGACTTCTTGGTAGTACTCCTTATTGGCAGTCTGGCCTAGTGATGCGTACTCATGATGCACAACACCCCGGTAATAAAAAAAAACAGTCAGTATCACCTTCACATTGCTCCAAACCTGTCGTGCTCTTTTGGGCCTCGGGGATGTTGGATGCTTCCATTGTGACGCCTGGACCTTGGTTTCTGGGTCATATCCGTACACCCATAACTCGTCACCAGTGATCACAGTCTTCAGGAACACAGGATCCCTGTTGGCGCACTCCAGGATGTCCTGCACGACCTCAAGACAGAGTTGTTGCTGCTCCGGCGAAAGCAGCTCGGGCACAAATTTTGCCGCCACTCTTCGCATGCCCAAATCCTCAGTTAAAATTGTGTTTGTGGAACCTCTGCTGGTCCCAACCTCATCAGCAACTCCACGGATGGCCAAACAATGGTCCTCCATGATCAGTGTCCGCACTTTTTCAATGACATCAGCATTTCGGCTCGTTGATGGTCTCCTGGAACACTGCTCACTGTCTGCCAACATACAGCCACGTTTAAAGTGGTTGAACCACTCTTTCATTTGAGTGACCCCCATTGCATCATTGCCGAAAGCCTGCTGAATTTTGTGGACTGTTTCCGCTTGGGTATCGCCAAGTTTCTGACAAAACTTAATGCAGTATGACTGCTCCAAGCGTTCCGTCATCTTGAGCGAAACAAGAATACGACGAACACGTTACACCACTTTGCTATCTGGCAGCCACAGACGCATCCGGCAGTGTTGCGAGTCAGCAAAAAATCACGCATGCACATGAAAGTCCCCTCTACCACTACACTCAGTTTCCCCACCCCTTTGGCCATTACTTACAGTGGAAAAAAATAAAGTCAGATACTTTTTGAACATACAGTATTTGCCTCAAGCCGTTCAAGAAGCTAAGGTGGTGTTATTCGCAGATGACATAAATATATTAAACTTAGAGAAAACCCTCCCACTGTTAAAAGAAGAATCACTAAAGTCATGAAACAATTACAAAACTGGTTCCTAACAAATAATCTTATAATAAATACTGAAAAGACTAAAGCAATACTACTTCAGGGAAGAGGATCTAGTTTAACTCATGGACCCATTCTGTATTCAAAAAATAGAGAAATAACTTAATCAATTTAAAATTTGTAGGTATTTATATCACAGATAATTTAAGCTGGGCCACTAATATACAATATCTCTGCCACAAATTAAGCAAAGCTCCTTATTTGATTAAATCCATAAGACTCTCAGTAAGTTTACTGGTACTAGGAAGTTTTTATTTTACTAAATTTGAATCTATACTGAAATCTGGTATTATTTATGGGGGGGGGCATAAACAACAGTAATTCTGTCTTTAAATTACAAAAAAAGAAACAAGGTCTAAGGCTAATTAAAGGAGTGGAAAAACAGGGTGTCCTGTAGAAGTCTGTTTGGTGAATTTAAGATTTTAACAGTAACTTCTTTATATACAGGGGTTGGAGCTTTAATAGTGGCAACTATTTATTTACAACTGATACAAAATACACGCATGTTTCGAAGTTTTACTGTCCTTCAATGTAGTCACCAGCATTGTGTACAACCCATTGCCAGTGATATACCTTTAGCAGCACCTGTTGTGTTGATAGTTCGAATTGAGCGGTCTACTGCCTGAAGAATCTCTGGAACAGTTCTGAAGTGAATGCCACGAAGTGGTTCCTTCATCTTAGGAATCAAGTCAAAGTCACAAGGGCTTAAGTCCAGGGAGTATGGTAGAAGGTACAGTACTTCCCAGCCCCATCGATTGAACAAATCAGCCACAGCATGCGCTGCATGTGGCCAAGCATTGTCCTGCAAAATGATGGGTGGGTTCTGCAGAAAGTGTCACCGCTTCTTTCTTAAAGCTGGTTGCAGGTTGTGTTCCAAAAATGAACAGTAATACTGCAGATTGATGGTCTGCTGTCGGGAAATGGTATACATTAGGATAACACCATCACAGTCGTACATGAGAATCGCCATAACTTTCACATTGCTGGGGTTCTGATGAACTTTTGATTTTTGTGGTGACCTGTAATGACGCCATTCATTCAACTGGTGTTTCACTTGTGGCTCGTACGATTTGGCCCATGTCTCATTCAGCATAATGATATGGCATAAGGAAGCGTCTCCTTCGCGCTCATAGCGCTCCAAGTGGTTACGAGCAGCATCATATTGTAGCTATTTCTGCATTTCCATCAAATCATGCAGAACCCATTGAGATGGAATTTTTCTCATGCCCAGGCATGAAGAATGTGAAGCATAGTCGTATGTGCTAATCCTGTCTCTCAGGCCTGCTCATGAATCGTATGGCGTTGATAACTCTCCAGTAGGGTGGAAAGAGCATACACTTCTTCTTCACTAACACTAGGACGACTTGGCTGAAGCATGTCTGCCACATTTTGGCGTCCCTCATTGAAGGCTTTTAACCACCTTGCCACTGTTCTGTAAGGCAATGCAGATTCCCTGCAAGCCTCTTGAAGACCTTGATGATACTGTCGTGCTGTATGGCCTCTGGCACATTCAATCTTTATCCAGCTCCACTGTTCCTGTTTCAAAAACATTGTGACACTACATTAGACCGCCAGCTAACACGAGGCTCTGTTCGTCTCATCCCTGTGCATGCGCATGATGTGGGAGGGGAGAGTCCAGTTGCTCTGAGTTAAGGTAGGTATGTAACTAACATGTGGTATAAGCAACATTATTTGGTTCCGCTGCATAGTGTTTCTACAGCAGTGTCGCCACTATTAAAGTTCTAACCCTTGTGTGTGTGTGTGTGTGCGTGCGTGCGTGCGTGCGTGCGTGCGTGCGTATGAATGATCTTATGCTTTTTAAAAAAGAACAAGATCTACACAACTCATTATTCTGACGTTCACAAGTATAACACTAATGGAAACCAGGATTTGTATGTGTAAACATGCAACACTGTTCATTGCAAAATATGTGTAATTAACATGGGAATTAAAATACATAATTAAAAAGAACAGAAAATTTTAAAAACAAATTAAAAAGTTATTTATTACACAACTGTTTTTATTCTCTGCAGGAGTTTTTTAATAACAATGATGGATGGTAGTTTGGTGGCTCGAGTTGGTTCTGATGTGGTGTGGTTGTATATAGATGGTATATAAGTGTACGCATTGCTTTTACTTGGATTCCTGGGCGATGTCATCCTCAATTGCTGGCTTCAGCAGGCGGACAAGGATCCTAAGATGACTGTATTGTTCATAGTCTTGTGTATCATTTTGTACATTTTTAAGAGTTCTTGACTTGTAGTGTTTTAGATGGCTTGAGCTGACTTGTCCACCTGTACTTAAGTAGCAGTTTATGGATGTAAATAAATTATTAATTATTCCAGTTCTCTTGCATTTTTTTATTCTCTGCAGGAGTTTTTTAATAACAATGATGGATGGTAGTTTGGTGGCTCGAGTTGGTTCTGATGTGGTGTGGTTGTATATAGATGGTATATAAGTGTACGCGTTGCTTTTACTTGGATTGCTGGGGGATGTCATCCTCAGTTGCTGGCTTCAGCAGGCGGACAAGGATCCTAAGATGACTGTATTGTTCATAGTCTTGTGTATCATTTTGTACATTTTTAAGAGTTCTTGACTTGTAGTGTTTTAGATGGCTTGAGCTGACTTGTCCACCTGTACTTGAGTAGCAGTTTATGGATGTAAATAAATTATGAATTATTCCAGTTCTCTTGCATTTTTTTATACAAATTATGGTTTAGAATTATGGATTCCAACCTGTGGGTCATGAGGATGTCTCACATGGGTCACAAACAAAAGTACATCCTACACCATAATTGTATTATGTAAAGTTACTTGCCTTGGAAAGAAGTGCTTAAAACTATTTCAGGTACTTTTTTCCACACAGTACAAGAATAACTCATAATTTAATTTCTCTGTGCCACTTATGATTTTCCACATAAGTAATATACATCAGTTCTTAATTCTATATTACACTGTCTTAAAATGAATATATATCAAGTACGTAAGTGGCTGGTCTAGCTGCTGTTTGCTCTTTCATCCATAATAAAAAATATATTATTCTCCATAAAGATATATATAAATACAAACCACTCCATCCAATGTGACATGTAAGTTTTTACTACATTAAATCTTATCTCCCTTACATGTTTCGGTCCTTGCAGGCCATCTTCAGAGGGAACATCATTACAAACTGGAAACTACCATCACAATAGGTGTTTTGATTTAAAATACATACACTTATATCCTATAGTGCACAGTACGCATAAAGTCGAATGTTTCACAATCACAGCAGCTTCTGGTGTTGTAAAGATTTAAAAGTTTCTAGATGTTATTTAAAAAACCTTTATTGTCCTCATCAAGACAGACAGGCGGTACAAAATCTGCCCAATGCAAGAAGGACGATAGGAGTATGGACACGAACCTACGTGGTTTAAAAAATTTTAACTATTGACAATAAAGGTTTTTTTAAATAACATCTAGAAACTTTTAAATCTTTACAACACCAGAAGCTGCTGTGATTGTGAAACATTCGACTTTATGCGTACTGTGCACTATAGGATATAAGTGTATGTATTTTAAATCAAAACACCTATTGTGATGGTAGTTTCCAGTTTGTAATGATGTTCCCTCTGAAGATGGCCCGTAAGGACCTAAACATGTAAGGGAGATAAGTTTAAACGTAGTAAAAATTTACATGTCACATTGGATGGAGTGGTTTGTATTTATAATTGTTAGTGTGACGGACCAGAATGAAACAAACCAAATTTCTCCATAAAGAATTTCAAGACAAAAAACCTTAACTGGATTTAAATTAGCCCTACAGGGATGTGGGGAAAAAAGTGTGCTTTAATTTCTATCACATTATTGAATTACTTTGATGTTTGTAGGAGCAAACTCCCATTCTTGTGTTCTGCTCAGAGATGGCACATTCACGCCCTTTGGGATGTATATGCTCTTTGTTAGTTCATTGATGTCCTTCAAGGGACGCTGAATACCATCAAAAATGCTCCCCAAAATTCCTGGTCCTAATTCCACAGACAAGGGTTTCCCTGTACGGAGCACAGGATCGCCAACAGTAACACCTGATGTTTCCTCATATACCTGCAAAGTTAAATACACAGACATGTTAATGGGTCTGAGTAGCTGGCACTGAATCAGATTTATTTTATCATTAGTTCCAAATCTTCCACATATCTGAACATTTTTGGTGCTGCACTGATTTTTGGCAATGAATTAAATATTGCAACATATGTACCTTACAAAAATAGAGAGTGCTTGTCTGATAGAGAACAATAAATTTACTAAGTCTAGAGAACTCTGGTATAAAAATTTATTACATGCAACCATGACTCTAGGAACTGGCAGCACACAAGGAAAGAAAATCAGAATAGGCAAGGAACAGACAGTCAATGGTGCTTTACGATCAAATGTCTTCACAAGTGCACACAAAAGAGAGTATTCACATTTCTACCTTCAAACTAAAAAGACAAATCTGGGTAGTAAAAAAGTCTCAGCCTTAGTTTGGGGGCCAGTTCCCTTAATACAAGCTTTCTGGAGTTTGCCTTGGTCTGTTTGGGGGTGTAGTGGGGCAGTAACTTCAAACCCACCCTCCAGATAATTTTTAGTTCACAATATACAATTCTCATAACTCATTCTCTGCTAAATAGTGTTTGCACATGATTCTCAGCATAATTACAAGTTTATATAGAACCTAACAACTGATACATTCAAGGGAAACAGTCTCTTCTGAATCACTGTAGTGTATTCCTCCCTATAATAAGCATTAGAGTGAAAGTAAAGGTATCCCTGTTACAGACCGTGGAGGCCCATAGGGTTGTGAGATGTTGAGGTTCCCACATTTTCTAGACATTCACATCATAGATGGCGGCAAGGTTGTCAGCCCTACATGCTGGCCGCCCTTTACCCCCAAGAATATTCCAAGAATATTCCTGGTACTCATTTCTGTTAGAGGGTGAGTTGACCCCAGGGCCATAGTGCGGCTGGAAGGATTAGGTCAACTGAAAAAATCCAATGACTTTATCGAGACTTCAACCCGCGACCTTCTGGCTTGTAGCATAGTACCTCAACCAACTACACTACCATGTCTCAGCCTTCTGGCTAAAATCAAAGTGTAGTAAGCATTAGAGTAAAGATCAGATTTTGTGCTCTACCAGATATTTCACACCATTCTACTGTTCACAAGTACATGCCTCACTTTATTTTGGGGAACGTTTGTACACAGTGAAACATATACATATTTGTTTCTACCTTCATTATCAGAAAAAATACTGAGTGTAATCTAATTAAATTGTAAGTTTTCATATGTAATAACATTTTAAAGTTATCTGTTGCTACTATGTTATGGTTGACAAAGAAATTTGTATATAAAAATATTCTCCTGCATAAAATGTTAAATACCAACAGCCAACACATAATTTGGCAAACTGTGTTACTTAATTATTTGTCAATTCAACAAAACCTGAAGAGTCTCTGACTACAAGAAACCCAGAAAGAAAATCATAGGATTTTGCAATAGGTGAAATAATATGTATGTCAACTTACTGTGCAAAATAAAGAGTGAAAAGGCCAAATATTTTCTGAGACTGGTTAGAAGAATACTAACCTGAATAGTCGCCATATCACCCTCCAGTCGAATGATTTCACCCACAAGCTCAAAGTAGCCCACTCGAACCAATTCATACATAGCAGAGCCCGACATGCGCTCTGCCGTGACCACTGCCAACATAACCCATAACATACGAATAAAAGTAACTAAATATCACCAATCATGCACAGATACATATCCTGCAACATGTCTGTATGAATACCTAACAAACTCCATACAGCTAAGTTCTTCCTTAGAAACCAACACTTGCTCAGTCACTCAAGAAATTTCCAGCACTTCATAGAACTTGAAGGTTCAATGCCATGTCCACAAGAGCCAACCTGGTTGCTTTTAATCTATTCTGGCAATAATTGAACACCACACCAGTTCTCCTGTTCTGTATTCCTCGCATATTTTCAGGCTCTTGCCTGTCTTTTCTGTAAATATGGAAACTTTGCTAATATTGGAATTATGCTTCAGAGGGTTTGTCTTTGACTGGCTACATGGTCATGTGATGTGGTGAGGAATCTGCATATTAATCAATACTTCTACCAAATTGCAATTTTAGAACTGGTATCCACCTCTCCTACTGCTATCTTCTCATCCTTCTCCACTCTACCCTTGCAATGTCAACCGTGCCACGCTACAACGTGAAATATTAACACTATACTCATACATTACATTCTGAGAGTAACCTGAAAATAAAAAACAAAAAGGAAAAGCTATCCCTGTAATAGGCCGTGAAGGCCCACAGGGTTGTGAGATGTCCAGGCTCCCATACTTTCTAGACAGTCAGCTCACATGTGGTTATAAGGTTGTCAGCCTTACACAGCAGCCACCCTCTAGCCCCCAAGAAGATTCCTGTACTCATTTCTGTTACAGGTTGTGTCAAACCCAGGGCCGTAGTGCGGCCCAATCCAATGACCTCATAGGGATTCAAACCTGCAACCTTCCGGCTGTATTATAGTGCCTCAACCAACTACGCTACCCCGTGCCCCCAACCATAAAATTACCAAAAAAATCTCCAACTACCAAGAAATGTAGAAAATAAGCATATAAAAATGTAAGAACAAACTAAAATATATTGATACAGAATGTAAAAAAGTAATATAACACAAACACTCATGTCACATACAAACCACAACAATTTCCAGAAGAATAAATCCAGTTCTTAAAATTAATTTGTCTCTCTGAAGTAAAATATGTAGGTCAGTCAAAAGTTCCCAGAATTCCCCTGCAGACGGAGAACGAGCGATAAGATAGTGCACACACTGTTGTGGTGGGAAGCTCAGCATGTTGGCTCGCAGGCGCAACAGGTCTGGACAGGTTTCAGTGTGCATGTTACATTGAATTAGACATGAGTGTTGGTTATTCGGCGCAATGTCACAGTTCGAACAGCGTGTGAACATCAAGTTCATGTGCAAATTGGGAAAATCTGCTTCAGAGATGCTAGCTGCCCTGTAGCAAGTTTGCGGTGATACTGCACTATAGAAATCCACATTTACAACAGGTTTTCTCGGTTTAAGAATGGGCAGGAGATGTTAGAGGATGACCAGCACAGCGGGAGACCTACGAGATCCAGAACCAAAGAAATGACTGGAAAACTGCGATAACTGATTTGATGTGACTGAAGAATGCCCATCACGGAGTTGGAGCAAAAAGTTGGTACTGTTACTGGCCAGATGCGGTTCAGAGGAAGCAGCGCGACAAGTGGCAGGGACACTGGTTTCTACATCACGATAACACACCGAGCCACGCTTTGCTTGTTGTGCAGCAATTCCTCACCGAGAAAAAATTCCTGTCATTACTCAACCACCGTACTCTCCAGATCTCGCTCCGAGTGACTTTTGGCTGTTCCCTACTCTGAAAATGGGACTCAGTGGGGCATGTTTTGCAACCATGGAGGACATCAAATCTAATGCGATGGCTGAGCTCCCGAAGATACCAAAAGAAGCCTTCCACTGCTGCATCCAACAATGGCAGGATCGATGGAGCAAGTGTGTGTACGTGCAAGGGTCTTACTTTGAAGGTGATTAGGTAAGTGTTGCCATATGTCCTACCAGTAGAGTGCTATACCACCATTCCAGGAACTTTCTGACTGCCCCGCGTACACACCTGTCACTACTTGAAACCAGACACACTTTTATCATGATGTTCAATATTTAAACACAACAGCTTATAGACATCCCACCACAAAAGTTTGAAAAGGCATTTTTCCTGCAAACCATTACTAACACCACTGTAACTTACCTGGTCCAGACACAGCAAATACATAACCATATTTGGACTCTCGGTCCTCATCTTGAATCTTTGGAAGGCTTGGTGACATCTTTCCTCTGTAAATTATGACTTATTAGTGCTGCATATTCAAATTCTTTGTATGTATTAATTAACGAATTTCACTCTTACAATTAAGTGTGGAATGTGGTTTCAGCCTCATGCCATTCTCCATGGTGGTTGTCAATCCTACAACTACTACTTAAATTTATTACGTATGTCTAACAGAGGCCAGCTTTGCTTTGGGGGAAGGCCACGCCATAGCTCAAGTGGTTATTCACTGGCTTCCCACCGTGGCGCCCCGGGTTCAATCCCAGGTCTGGTCAGGTGGGATTTGTGGTGGACAAAGTGGCGCTGGGTGGGTTTTCTCTGTGTACTTAGGTTTCCCCTGCCAATCTTCATTCCACCAAATTCACCATCAACATAATCACCCGGAGCAGGCTACAATAGGCCAATCAGTGGCCGCCGTGTCGAGTGGACCCAGTTGGACTCCACCCACCACTAAGAGATTTAAAAAAGAATGCTTTGGGGACCGGAATTGTATCTATACCTTTATCCTTAAAATTATGTTGATTCCAGAACGAAATAAATGCTTCTTCCTGTAAAGAATAATGCAGCTGAAACTACCACAATTGTAAATGGTGCAACCGATTTTCTCACACGATAAATGTAGGTCACTGGTACACCAAGGCCAGTAAGAAACTTTAAAGAGTTCTCCATCTCTGAAGGAAAAACGGATTTTTTTCGGCCCTTCAAGAAAAATGATAAATTCAAATAAGATTTAAAATTAAAATATGATGATGTATTCGAAACAAAAATACCTGTTACTACTTCCCACAATTGACTTGCCCAGTCTTTATGTCAATGTTTTATTACACAGAAGCCCCTAATATTTTAAAGCTTCAATGTTAACAGCTGTATGTTACTCACATAATACACAATCAAAAATAATTTCGAGTTACACCTAGATACAATTACCCAAAACGCAAGTTTTCGTGCTCTTTCATACATGTCACACACAATCTGCTGAAAAAAAAAGCGAAATTTATTTCGTATTATGAACTCTCTAGAGGTAATCTTACACACTTTGGTATAACATAAATCTTAAAATAACTACCTACTGAAACTTCACTCCTCCAAACGAAGATCACAAGACCAGGCAGCTGACACTTCAATTAATACGAAAGTCATACTGCTTCAACTTTAATTCACATTCACTTCGGCAATAACCATATTATGCTCGTCATTTAACAGCCCACGAGAGTGATGTGTAATTATCAGTAATACTTCTTCTTATAAAATGAATTTATTTACCAATAAATATTCTTATACGGATATTTAGCTACCACATTGCCCACTTCCAGTAACCTCGTTCAGAAAATCAATTCGAAGCTAGATAAAGGGATTGAGTGCTTGAATTAGCAGGAAAAAGTTGAAATACTGATGGGAGATTTAAAGTTCTCACGGCCATGACTGTTAAAAGTAATATCATCTGAAATGTGACTTCGTGCAATGGGCTGACAGTTTACCGACGTTTCGGAGGAACGTACAGCCTCCATATTCAGGCAAGCAACAAAAACGAAAACTGCTATGCTTCCTATTTGAGTGGCTTACTCGTCGTCAATGAGGTCAATGAAGATGATGAAGATAGAGGCAGAACGTTACTCTAACAGCTCTAACATATGTGTACTGTTACCAGTATTCACGGTGTCATACATCTAATGATCCACTGGAAATTATACATGTTGGCAAGTCGTACATGTTGGTAATGCCGTTCACAACTGGCGCCACGGTGTGATAGCAGGCCTGTCCACCTTGGACGTATAATTTTGTTGTTTAGTATCTCCCTGTATCATTTCAATAGTTCTCCTCAAAATTTTATTGTTACGAATCATCTTAAAGGAAGAGTGTGCATAGTCACTAATAAAAGAGGCTGGTATAATGACAAGGTACGTTTATTTCGCATGTTTCGATTACCACAATTAAAGTCAATAGGAAGCAAATTTGAACTTCACAGATTTATTGCTAACCTTATAGGCTGATCTCCCGTAAATTGAGTGTTTATCCGCAAGTAGAAAATAAGTTGTTAAAGTAGCATTAAAGTAACTGATTTTTTATGCAATTTCAGCTCTGTTGACAGAATACCGCCAAGAAAATATTAACAAAGTAGTTGTTTACTAAATGTGCCTTGCCTGGATTTGCTGTAGTGTATGTGGAGCTCTTTGTGTATTATGTTAATATGCGTTGACCTATGTCCACATGGGCAGTTAGTTACCTATTTCGTTACGGAATGTATGTATAGAATGTTAAATTCTGCTGTAATGTGCCTTATTTTTATGACATGTTGTATTTTAGGTACTTGTGATTGCTGTATACTGAACAAGTATTATCAGTAGTGCAATATGAATTTTATTCGGTTAAAGTGCTTGTTTAGAATGTTGTCACTTATGGACGTTTCATTTTTAGGTCAAAAATCGAGTTGGGAGATGTAACTCCACATAATATAAAGCAGCTCAAACGTCTTAATCGGGTTGTATTCCCAGTCTCCTACAATGATAAATTCTACAAAGATGTTTTGGAAGCTGGGGAGTTAGCTAAATTGGGTATGGTATTGACTGAAGTTTTAATAATTTATTATGGAATTAAAAGATTGTTGTTAATGATGATTAGATTGCTATAATGCATTCTCAATTTTGGCAGCGTACTATAATGACATTGTAGTGGGAGCTGTGTGCTGTAGGATTGACACTTCAGAAAACTCGAGACGCCTGTATATAATGACTTTAGGATGCCTGTACCCATATCGAAGGCTTGGCATTGGCTCAAAGATGGTGGAACATGTCCTAAAGTATGTTCATACTGATGGTAACTTCGATAGCATTTTCCTGTAAGTACCAGGACATTTATATTTATGTACGTTTAAGTATATATTAAACACATCTGGGTTATAAATTTTAAATTGTTGTGTTAGTGTAATGCAGATGATGTAGAATAAGATGGGGAGTTAATCAGTGTATTTTAAGGTAATTTGTCGTATTCATAAATGGACCTGTTTAAAAACATAATTTTAGTATTCCATGTTAGAAATTCCAGTTAGTAATGATATGGTTCTCAGTACAAGATGAATTGACATCAAAATGGTTTTATTTATAGGCATGTCCAGGTGAACAATGAGGGAGCAATAGACTTCTACAAAAAATTCGGCTTTGAAATTGTAGACACTAAGGTACACTATTATAAGAGGATTGAACCAGCTGATGCACATGTGTTGCAGAAGACTCTTCGGCCTAAAATATCAAACGGTGAAATAAAGATTGGTGAAGAAAAAAAAAACAATGAGAAATAATGAAAAATTAAAGATGAAGCTTTAAATTATTGTACAGACTCTTATAAAGTTCATTGCTATTGATAAGTGAGTGTAATCCTATTGCTTTCATTCACTCTGGTTCCATTAATGACAAAATATGACACACCAAATTATAACAGTACAGGAATATAAATTTTTCTTCTGTTATATCATTTCACTTATTTATGTGCACAAATGGTTTTAATATGGACTTCATTTCCGTTTTATGATATTTATAATACTTAGAATAATGTAAGATGCTCCTGGCTAAGTAGATTTTGTAATTAATGGAAATAGATATATTGCAATTTTCAATATTGTTTTCATGAATCCTTATGAATACATCTATCCTGAACATTTGGGGTTATTTATTTCTTTGTTATCAGAGTAAGAATTATTGAGAAACTATGAGCACCAAAATAAATGTAAGACTGTCATAAATTTGGTTTAAGTGAATTTGTTTCAGGTTTACTGAGAAGGCACAAGTTTCATCTTTATTAATGTGCCCTATGAAACTTATTTTCTAACCCTCCAGTTCACAATTAACCTTTGTACTTGTGGTGAACAGACTGATAGGCTGTAGAACACTGTGGGTCACAGGTATTCAGAAGTGTAATTGAAGAAGCAACAAAGGTGGCCTAGTCATACTCAAGACCATTTCTGAAACTTATGGGGGCAGTCATAAAGGTGCACTTTGTTGTTGTGCTCATAGACTGTTGGTGAATTACAGTGTCACATTTTCATAAATGTTTACATGTTTCGACCTTACGAGGTCATCAAATATACTGTTACATAATTCCTGCATCATATTGCTTTTCCTAGTTAATTGTTCAAAATCTTGGTTAAAATTAGTTCCAGTTATTGTTGAATATTGTTAAAATTAGTTAAAAATATTCCTTTTTAAATTGATATTGTGTGCAGTCTTGTTATGGTATAAAGTGGTTGTGTTGTGTGTGTGTGAGAGAGAGAGAGATATTAAGTATGACATGGACTGTATGAATTCTTTGGAAGGTGGTTAAATCATTCACCAGTGCAACAGGATGCTAAAATATAAACAGAAAAGTTCATTTGAAATTGAAATGTATGAGGAACCAACGTTCCTGTTACAAATGTATCTTTATGTATATACAGAACTTCAGTTTTCGTTAAAGTCTTGAAAGAACCTCTCCCAAATAAGATCATTGGTGTCCATATATCCATCTTATTTCTTTTTGCATTTGTCATCAAAGTAATGCCATGTGTAAACAAGAGGCGTTAATGTTGAATCACAGTCTGCCGTTTATCCCCATATCCCATTCATTACACCCACTCACATTCCTGATAATGTTTAATGCGCAGATTTGTAAGGAGAGATTTAACTGTAAAGCTCAGGGTATTAATTAAGAGTGATAAAAGAAGAATTATTTACAAACTACAGCAGCCTGGTATAAATGACATGACAGCACACAACCACACAGTTTGTAATAGGCAGCCACAACACAGGGTACTGGATCCTGGTCCCTGCAGAGCTGCAAGATTTGTACCGTTCATACTCTTACAATGCAATGTTATGCTCTGAAAGCAGGTATCTGCCTTGATTTCAGTTTTCCACTCTTCATCTTACCTGTATCTGTCACACATCTTTTCACATATAAAAGGTAAAGGTAAGGCTATCCCTGTAACAGGCCGTGGAGGCCCATAGGGTTGTGAGACGTTGAGGGTCCTACATTATCTAGACAGTCAGCCTTACGCACCAGCCGCACTTTACCCCCCAGGAAAATTCATGGTACTCAATTCTGTTAGAGGCTGAGTCGACCCCAGGGCCATAGTGCGGCTGGAAGGATTAGGTCAATTGAAAAAAAATCCAGTGACTTCATCGAGACTTGAACCCATGACCTTCTGGCTCGTAGCTTAGTGCCTCAACCAACTCTGCTACTGTCTGCCCCCTCTCTTCACATATATTGCAAGAAATTACTTCAGTTCTCGGTTTTCACTAAGGCACCTCAGAAAACTGGAATATGAATTCCAGGATTTATTTTTTCACAAGCTTCCATCTCATGATATAAAGGTGACAGCTACATTGTGAAAACAGACCACTTATATTTAAAATCTGCTCCAATTGTGTATATGGACAGTTATTAAAATTAGAATTTCTTCACTGCATACAGTGTGCTGTAACCATCAACATACTGCCAAATGCATGGTGCAGACTTTCAAATGTCCCTCTCTTTATAAGAAATTAGTTTCACTTTATGTGTTTCCAATTTACTTTTCCTCAGAGTGCCATTCCTGCAGTTATTACAAATGAAGTTCCCTGTCATTACATTAACCATAAAATTCACACGTGGATCACTCTAAAGAAACCGCTCAGATAATGAAAGGCAATTAGATATAAAAGTTATAGCTTGTGGGCATATGATCTAGCTCATTTAGGTCCAGTGTTGTTAAGGGTGCTGAACCTTCAGGTTCTGCTACCAAAGAGTCTGATAGCTGATTTCTTTTTCCCTTCCCTAATCATTACATCTGAGGGTGCCAACATTTTCTCTCTTATTTTCTGTTTCTGTTCTTTCCTTAAGACTGAAAGATGAAGTTTCTCTGCACTGTAGTTAGTAACATGATGTTACGAACACTTATACATACGAGGATTGGAACTTTAATAGTGGCAACACTGCTTTAGAGACGCCATGCAATGGAACCAAATAATGTTGCTTATACCACATGTTAGTTACATACCTACCTTAACTCAGAGCAACTGGACTCTCCCCTCCCACATCATGCGCATGCACAGGGATGAGACGAACAGAGCCTCGTGTTAGCTGGCGGTCTAATGTAGTGTCACAATGTTTTTGAAACAGGAACAACGGAGTTGGATAAAGATTGAATGTGCCAGAGGCCATACAGCATGACAGTGTCATCAAGGTCTTCAAGAGGCTTGCAGGGAATCTGCAATGCCTGACAGAACAGCGGCAAGGTGGGTAAAAGCCTTCAATGAGGGACGCCAAAATGTGGCAGACATGCTTCAGCCAGGTCATCCTAGTGTTAGTGAAGAAGAAGTGTATGCTCTTTCCGCGTTACTGGAGAGTAATCGATGCCATGTGATTCATGATCGGGCCCAAGAGACAGGATTAGCACATACAACTGTGCTTCGCATTCTGAAGGAACGCCTGGGCATGAGAAAAATTGCATCATGATGGGTTCCGCATGATTTGACAGAAATGCAGAAATGGCTATGATACGACACTGCTTGTAACCACTTGGAGTGCTATGAGTGTGAAGGAGAGGCTTTCTTACGCTGTATCATTATGCTGGATGAGACATGGGCCAAATCGTACAAGCCACAAATGAAACGCCAATGGAACAAATGGCATCATTACGGGTCACCACGAAAATCAAAAGTTTGTCAGAACCCCAGCAATGTGAAAGTTATGGTGATTCTCGTGTATGACTGTGATGGTGTTGTCCTAACGCATACCATTCCCTGACAGCAGACCATCAATGTGCAGTATTACTGTTCACTTTTGGAACACAATCTGTGACCAACTTTGAGAAAGAAGCGGCGACACTTTCTGCAGAACCCACCCATCATTTTGCAGGACAATGCTTGGCCACATGCAGCGCAAGCTGTGGCTTATTTGTTCGATCGATGGGCCTGGGAAGTGCTGTACCATCCACCATACTCCCTGGACTTAAGCCCTTTTGACTTTGACTTGATTCCTAAGATGAAGGAACCACTTTGTGGCATTCGCTTCAGGCAGTAGACCACTCTATTTGAACTATCAACACAACAGGTGCTGCTAAAGGTATCCTACGACTTCCACATCGCTGGCAACGGGTTGTACACAATGCTGGTGACTACATTGAAGGGCAGTAAAACTTCAAAACATGCATCTGTTTTGTATAAGTTGTAAATAAATAGTTGCCACTATTAAAGTTCCAACCCTCATATTTTTAAGATATTTGAATATGCAGACTGCAAAACTTTTTTTTTCATGGCATGAAGTTGGAACTGTAACAACGCATTTGAAATGCAGCTTTATGGTATACCTGTAAACATGTCTTACTTTACAAAATTGCTCAAATTAAGGATAAAATGCCTCCATTATGTTGGATATCTGTGCAAGTTGTTTGCCCATTCATTAGGTTATTTAATCATGCTTCATCAAGCAAAAATATATCATGAAATGAGAAATCTTATGAACACAATTTGGTAGTTAGGAGGAAGAAGTTGTAGCCTATTTTAAGATATGAGTCCTTGCATTTGAACAGGAAAACATGACAACTGGGAGGATAATATTAAGATACTGTGGATCTCAAAAGAAATAGGATGTGAGGGTATGGAGTAAATTAAATTGAAACAATGTGGCTGTGGTACTGGATATATCTGACTACAACCGAAAGATCACCGCTCTCTTGGAGGATAAGGCCTACAAGAAGTTGAAGAAGGATCCTACCAATACCATAGAGCACAAGACTGTTCTTCTCCTGAAAAAGTTCCCGATTGCTGAGGTCTGCCAACAGCTATGACCCCAAGGTTCTAGGCCACCTAGACTCTACGGGTTGCCGAAAATCCACAAGCCTGGCTGGCCTACTGAGCACATACACTGGCAATGGTCCACACCATGTAAGTAACTCCATGGAATTTGTCCACACATTGGGCTCTCTCCATGTCAATCCCCAAGACATAATGGTCAGCTTCGATGTAGTGTCACTCTTCACCAGGGTACCTATAAAGGATATGATGGATCTGCTAGGATGACATTTCGAAGAAGACATCTTGAGACTCTTCCGCCATGTCCTGACCACCTCATACTTCACCTTCAATGGCCAGTTCTATGAATAAACTGATGGTGTGGCGATGGGCTCGCCACTTTCTCGGGTCATCTCTAACCTATATATGGAGGACTTCGAGGAGAGGGCACTTGACTTTGCCCCACACAAGCCCCACTGCTGGTTTCGCTATGTGGACGACACCTTCGTCATCAGGCCACACGGGCCTGACAAGCTTAAGGACTTCCTCAACCACCTAAACAGTAGCCACCATTGCATTCAGTTCACAATGGAGACTGAAATGAGGGCCACCTCCCCTTCCTGGATGTAGATATTTACAGGAGACCCAACAGTTCTCTGGGCCAGAGTGTACCGCACATCCACCCATACAAACCTCTACCTTAACGCTGTGTCCCACCACCACCCTTCCAACAAGCAAGCTGCACTTTCCACATTGGTGCACAGGGCTAGAGCTCTTTGTGATCAAAACAGCCTACATGCGGAGTTGGTACTCCTGGGGGATGTATTCAGGAAGAACAGATACAACAACTGGCAGATCCACAGAGTTCTCAACCGTCAGCCCAACATCAGCTGGCTTGAAGATAAACCGGGCTCAGTCGTCTTCCTTCCCTATGTCGGGAATATATTCAACCGTATCAGCAGAGTGCTGTCCCGGCACAACATCAAATCAGTGGGTCTGCCTCCAAACAAATTATCCAGTTTCCTCCGGCCGGTCAAAGATAGCCTGGGACTAAGGACACCAGGTGTATACAGTATCGCATGCGAGTGTGGCAAGGTCTATATTAGGCAGATGGGCCACTACGTGGACATGAGGTTGAAGGAGCATCATCGGCACATCTCTCTCGAACATCCGGACAAGTCAGCTGTAGCTGAACACAGCATCGATTTGGGACACTGCATTCAGCTTCAGAATACCACCATTCTCGTCACCAAGACCCGATATACGGATCGCATCATTAGGGAAGCCATTGAGATTGAACTCCATCCCGAACATATGAACAGCCTTGTCTCAGCAAGTCGTGGAAGCCTCTGATCTGTTCCCTAAAAACCCCCCAGGACATGACGCCAAATCCACTATTCTACACAGGCCATGACCCACTTACATAGCAACCCCCCTCCCCAGCTTAATGGTTAGTGGTCTCCCTCTGACACAATATCATATACAAAACCCTGCTTCTGTCCCAGCCCCTTCCCCCCTCCCACTCCACTGATTTCCCATGTAGACTTGCCCCCCCCCCTTCCTTCACTGCTCTCACATAGCTGTGTTTATTTCCAACACCAGTCTGCTTGTACCGGTTCTCACGGTCTCTTCACTTGCAGATTTTCTTATTTTCCCTTCCACTCTGAAGATGGAGGAGATATGTTCCTCCGAAACGTCGGTCAACACCACATCTACACGGTGCCACATCCCAGAAGACTGCTTTCTTCAATATTAGATCCAGTGGCAGGCTTTTCATTGTTCATATAAGTTTATGTCCTATAGGTGAATTAACATATTTTAATTAAATTTAATCAGGTCATGAAAAGTTAAACGGTTCCATCTAATGTAGCTGGTGAAGATTTTTCTTATTTCAATTATTTATGCTTTTACATGTTTTGGTCTTCAGAGACCATCATCAACGGGACATCTTTACATCAATACAGTTGGAAGTTACTGTTACAATATATGTTCTGAATGTTAATATATATATATATATAAATATTAAATGAGTAAAAACAACACAGCACACCACAAACACATACAGGATACCATCAAAGAACCTTCTTCTTGAGAACAACAAGGCGGCACAAGTTCGGCCCCCATCACGAGAAATAATAAAGACGACACGAACCTACTTGGTCTATAAATTCCAATAAAATCTTAACCAATTACAAATATTTTAATGTACTGGAACAGCCACTGTAGTTGTAAAAACTTTAGATTTTGTACCCAATTGTATATTATTAATATTATATGTATATATTTTAACATTCAGAACATATATTGGAATAGTAACTTCCAACTGTATTGATGTAAAGTTGTCCCTCTGATGATGGTCTCTGAAGACCCAAAACATGTAAGGGCATAAATAATTGAAATAAGAAAAATCTTCACCAATCACACTGTACAGAACTGTTTAACTTTTCATGATATTGTTAGTGTGATGGACCGGAATGAAACAAATCAAATTAATCAGGTCTGCTACCTGGTATCTTCAGGTTCCATAAAGTTGAGAGTTTCTGTACCATCTGGATATTGCCCCACAAAATTATGTGTGAAGGAAATTTCAGAATTCTAGTTTTAATCATCTGTCAGATTATAAAGCATGTGGCAGAAACAATGCTCTGGTGAAATAACCGTTTAACATCGCATGTACACCATCTCTGGGAATATATGAAATTGAACTCAAGGAGGGGATGAAGAGCCATAACATAGCAACATGACATGCTGCAATATCTCATGTACACAAGCTATGAAATATACATTTATTACTGGTTCAACAATTACTATATCTGTAAGAATGTAATCATGCAGAGCTACATGCATAAGAGTTCCTGGATCCTCTTCACACATTGGTTGGACCCAGACCGTGCCTCCTTGCTCAGCTGCAGGGGAAAAAGCATAATATCATTTTGAGGTAGAGATTTTACATAAGCTTTAGAGGTGTACAAATTCACTAGTATGTATTTAAACAGCAGAGCATACTGAATAAAACAATGAAGTTGTCCAAAATAGATAATTTTTCCAGTTCCTCAGTAATTACACTAAATTTTATGAAAACTGTTCATACAGAACACTTTTATCTGTATCGTGCACAATGATAATATGCAATTCTCATAAAATACTATATGAGACATTCCAGCCATTATACTTCATACTAATAACCAATAAATTTTCTAACTACTACATGTTATGCTTGTTGGTTATTATTACTTCATTACCAGTTCTATTAAAACTTTAATCTTGAATTTGTTTGTGTTCTAAACTACAAGTTACTGCTACTTGTTACACCTACAAATTGCTGTTTAACTGAGGACATGTTAACTCTTACAGACAAGTCAGATCAATCAGTCACAGGATGTTATGCATTATGGAGAGAACTGTTCTGTTGCATGTACAATGTGCTGATCTCAGAATTGTGCAGTGAAAAAAGTAACAATGAAGTTTACTCTTTTTAACAGAAACTGTGTTTCAAAGTTAATGAGTAATATGCTTATATGTAAACAGATAAAATGTTACATTAGATGTCATATGAATAAAGAACTCTGTTTTCAAGCTACATAATGCCAGTAAACAGGATACTCATTATGCTGTATAGTTTGTAACAAAGGCCTAACTCAGTGAGTAGCAGTAGTTTAATGGCAACTGTGATGAATAATCCTTAATCCAAATCCTGAAAGAAAAAGAACTGAGCAGCAGTATATGGAAACGAAAGGTACTGGTTACCACATTTCAGTGCACACTGTAACATTAAGGAAGTTCTTTACAAGAAATACACAATAGCAGTCTACCTGACTGAAGTTGAGAAAGCCATGAGGAAGGCCATCAATCACATCCAATGACACAACCACTCCAAGCTTTCTCAGTTTCTTGGCAAACATCACACAGTCATCCAGAAATGGGTCCAACTGTACTGACTGCAAAGAAAAATCAACACTGTGCCTATGCATACAAGTTGGCAAAATGTTCTAATAAATAAATAATGCATAAGTTTATTAATCTGTGAGTTACTTCATGATATTGTAGATGTTATGTAGAATTGATATAATATGGAAAGAGTTCATGATGTAGATCAACAGTCACCTCAGAGGTTTTAAAATTATGTACTACAGTGTAAAATCATATTCTCCCCTCATGTCTAAGGAGAGGAATCTTCCTGGGCTGTGGTGCCAATTATGTTTGTAGTGTTATTATTTTGTTCTTTTACATTTCAGTATTAATGCACAGAGTTCATACGGAGTGGTTCAATCTCAAGAAATTAAATGAGATACAGGGTAAAGAGCAGTATCATGTTGAAATCTCAAATAGGTTCGTGGCCTTGGAAAACTTTGACACTGAGGTGGATGCTAATAAAGCTTGGGAAACTATTAGAGGGAATATCAAATTTCTGCCAAAGAGAAGCATAAGCCATGGTTCGATGAAGGATGCTCAAAATTACTAGACCACAGAAAACAAGCCAAACTGCAATGGTTACAGGATCCAAGTGAAATAAATAGGGATAATCTGAACATAATAAGACATGAAAGCAGCAGGCAATTCAGGAATAAAAGGATGGAATATCTGAAAGACAAAATTGTTGAACTTGCAATGAACAGTAAGAACATGAACATTAGAGACCTGTACATAGGAATAAATCAAGATGGGTTACCAACCTAGAAGTAACTTAGTGAAGGATCAGAATGTTGATCTGCTTGCAGATTCCTACAACATTTTGAATAGGTGGAACAACTACTTCTCTCAGTTATTAAATGTACATAGGGTCAGTAATATCAGGCAGATAGAAATGCACACAGCTGAGCCATTAATACTTCATCCCAGCCCTTTTGAGGTTGAAATTGCTATTGCAAAATTGAAAAGGTATAAATTGCCAGATAGTGATCAAATTCCAGCAGAACCTATTCAAGCAGGAGGCGAAATATTACGTTCTAAGATCCACAAGCTAATTACTTCTATTTGGAATAAGGAAAAATTTCCTGATCAGTGGAAGGAATTTACTATTGTACCAGTTCACAAGAAGGGTGATAAAACTGACTAGCAATTATGGGGGAATATCACTGCGATCAACTTCATACAAAATTTTATCCAATATTCTTCTCTCAAGGTTAAGTTCCTACATAGATGAAATTACTTGGGATCATCAGTGTGGGTTTCGACATAACAGATCAACTACAGATCAGAGCTTTTGCATTCATCAGATATTGGAGAAAAAAATGGGAGTACAATGAGACAGTACATCAGCTATTCGTAGACTTCAAAAAAGCCTTTGATTTGGTTAGGAGGGAAGTATTGTACAATATTCTTATAGAGTTTGGGATACCCATGAAACTAGTTAAGCTGATTAAAATGTGTTTAAACGAAACTTATAGTAAAGTCCATATAGGTAAACATTTGTCTGATAAATTTCCTATCCAGAATGGTCTAAGACAAGGAGATGCTTTATCGCCACTCCTTTTCAACTTTGCTTTAGAATATGCCATTAGGAAGGTCCAGGAAAACCAGGTGGGACTGAAATTAAACGGGACACATGAGCTGTTGGTCTATGCTAATGTGAATCTACAGGGTGATAATATAGATACCATAAAGAAAAACACACAAACTTTAATTGATGCAAGTAAAGAGGTTGGTCTAGAAGTAAACACAGAGAGAAATAAGTATATGATACTGTCTCATGACCAAAATGCAGGGCAAAATCATGACATAACCATAGAAAACAGATGTTTTGAAAATGTGGCACAGTTCAGATATTTGGGAACGACGATAACAAATCAAAACCTGATTCAGCAGGAAGTTAAGAGGAGATTGAACTCAGGTAATGCTTGCTACCATTCAGTCCAGAACCTTTTGTCTTCTCGTCTGCTGTCCAGAAACATAAAAATTAGAATATAAGAAACTATAATTTTGCCTGTGGTTCTGTATGGGTGTGAAACTTGGTCTCTGACATTAAGGGAGGAACATAGGCTGAGGGTGTTTGAGAACAAAGTATTGAGAATATTTGGGCCAAAGAGGGATGAAGTGACAGGCGGTTGGAGAAAACTGCTTAATGAGGAGCATCATAACTTGTACTATTCTCCAAGTATAATTAGAATGATCAAGTCAAGGAGGATGAGGTGGGCATGGCATGTAGCACGAATGGGGGAGAAAATGAATGCATATAGGATATTGGTGGGAAAGCCAGAAGGAAAAAGCCCAAGGCATAGGTGGGTGAACAATATTAAAATGGATCTTAGAGAGATAGGATGGGATGGATTGGATTGAGCTGGCTCAGGATAGGGACCAGTGGAGGGCTCTTGTGAACACAGTAAAGAACTTTCAGGTTCCATAAAATGCTGGGAAATTGTTTAGTAGCTGCAGATTTGGCTTCTCCTCAAGAAGGGCTCAGCTCCATAAGTACCAAACTATTTTTGCACAGGCTTCAACTTCTGAAATTACTATGACTGTCTTCACTTGCTAAGTAACAATAAATGTTCACCACACTTCTGAACATGGATTACAAGCTGTAAATTTTATTCCTGTGCTTTAGCCTCTATGAACATTTTCACTGTGTGACAGCATTATGATGTAACAGAACTAACAGTTTCACATTTTCTGATTTCTTAAGTCTGTCTCAGCATGACATCTTCCCTTTCATTCATAAAGCACCAATTCTAACACAACACTCAGATCTGCCAGTATGCAATGTCATGGCAGCAAAGGAATGCTACCCTCTATAGATCATTATCCGACTAGTTACCTCTGATCAGTGCTTTCAGTGCTCAAACCTGCCATTTGGCATGTCAGTTTTTCTTATTATTCCTTCTCCTCTTATTTCTAACAGGTAGTTCTTTTCTATCAAATGAATAAATGCTGCCTGCTCAGCAAAAACTGTGCCAGTCAGTGTCTTGACATTCTGCTGATCAGTCACGTAATGGTTTTGTTGGTAAGTTCACATGTATGCAACCTTGCTCTAAGAAAAGTACATTTCCTGCATGTCTTCTGACACTCACCACAATTTTTGTGGGGGGAAGCTGTTTTAGCACCTCATCACTTGCCAAGTAAGGAGACAAATACGGATCCCTTGGGATGGTGAAGTGCATGTCATCTGAAGGACTACGCTGCATAAGTGAGTCCAGCACCTCTAGGGACTCACTACCAAGACTCATACTGCAAAAATTGAAATCATTTGCAGTTCTTACCTGCAGCTTGTAATATGACACTTCAAACTAAATTCTATTTTGGTGTATGATTCATAAATGATACTCATTTTAAATTTGATTGTTGACAGACCTTAAAAGAGTGTTTCCAGGTTTAACTTCCTTTACTCACATTTTCCCCAGCTCAAATAAAATGCATTTTCAACATAATTCACTAACATTTCCATGTAACATTAAGAATCTCTATATGATACTTTCCACATTTCTACCAATGAACTTGAAGCACTAAAGAAGTGTGCCATGGGTTGTTTTAGAATAGACTTTTAAAAATTCAAGCTGACATTTTCCAAAGAGAAAGAAATTAAATACAGCCCTGCACTGTGGAGTATCCCAGAACTTAGTAACATCTCTTTTCCTCTCTACCATTTGAAATCATCCCACCATTGCTGCAACCATTCAGGCAATATCTCCTGCTCCAGTACAAGAAAATGCTACCCCATAAAGTGATTAGTTTCAACCCTTCCCATGTAGTAAAAATGTAGCAAAATTTCAAATTTTGTAGTATTTTATTTTTTCATTAATATCAGACAATTACAATAAAAAGTAATTTCCTGATGTCTAGGATCATTAAAAACAAACAATAACAGCAATTTAAATGAATGACATGACAGGTTGAGAAATATAATGTGTATCACACGGAGAGACAGGAGGCACTTGTGGATTATCTTCAAAATGAAGTGCTTGGCAGAGTTTGAAGTGTGGAATATACCATACATGATGGGCAAACTGACAATTCTATACATTACAAAGCCCCTTTCTTTATGAACAACATTCATAAAAGGTTCACCATCATAATGCACTGACACCATTCTTAACAGCAATGCTTGCCTAGTGTCCTTAAAAGTGACAGTGTGGTGTATAGATACCAAAAGTACTCAATTTAAATTTACTTCCACCTCCACCATAAGTCAGTGGTACTGAATGACAGTTTTATTGTATTATGTATATAACAAAGTCAGGAAACTATTTTGCACTTTCAAAAATTATTACAAACCTAGAGTGATACCTTGTAAAAAATTTATGAGGAAAAGCAATACTGTGACACAACCACAATGGAGTATACCTGCAGGAACCAGAATTATCAATAATGTTACATTTACTTTACAAACCTTTGACCTTGCTTAATAACAGCTGGTAGTTGCTGTGGTTCTGTGCCTGTCACATAGCTTGCAATGTTCCCCACAGCACGACCCAGCTTGGAGCTCAGCCCTAAGTCCTGTCGAGGAGGTAATTCAAACAAAACATTTTCTTCCACTTCTGGCTCTGTACGAAGTACTGGAATCATACGCCCCTCTGAGTCTGTGTCCGAGTCTAGAACATACTTCTCCAGTAACTCAGACATATTCTGTTCTGTTGGGGTGGGAGGACCTGCAACACACAAATTATCCACATCCTGCCAAAGTTTGAAAGGAAATATCAATATCCAGAAGTGGCTCTAGATACACAACCCTCTCAGCCATCATTTATGGTACTGGTATACTCAAAGTCTCGGGCATAACTACTTTATTTACAACCAAATGCAAATTGTCCAAATACACCGATAACACAAAAATGTTATAACCCATTGCAAACAAAAAATCTGAATGCAAGTAAAAGTAATCAGTTACATGCTTCGCCATCTTGGTAAAGCAATTTTTAGGACACCTAGTATATAAAACTAGGAAAAGGAAAAAACCCAATATTGTTGTTTAAATGACCTTATTAACCCTTCAGCGCGGTCGTTTAAATTCCGCTGCGTTGTCTCTCCGGCGGTAATATTTTCAGCTGACCATTTAAATTTTGCTCAAAAATGATTTATTCATCATTATTCTTAAATTATAGGAGATAGGAACATGAAACTTTCACTAAAATGATCTTAAAAGATGGTTTTATAATCTTACCTTATAATATGAGCGCCCGGTATCTCGGCAATGGAAGCAGGTGGTTTAGAAGTTGAGCAGTGTATGGTATGCCTTGANCACGCTCTTTGCTGCAAGACAGGCATAGGTAACGATGACGCAACGCAGCTAAACTAATGTTTCATATATATATATATATATATATATATAGTTCTTCTGACAACAAGCCAGCGAAAAATCTAACAATCTACAGCAAAATCATCAATTATTATGGGCGTATTAACATAGGTGTGCAGCTGGACGATACATAGTCGTCGAACCCCCGCGAACGATTTAAATCCCCTGACGAAACATACACATCAAACTGCGCTGAGTGGTTAACTATTCTCATCCAGTACTGTAAGACTGGTGGTCACATTTTAACTCCAGGGAAAGAGCATTATCATTGAAGAAATGCAACACTCATCAAACTGGACTGCACATAGGCACCATCACAGCAATGCAACACATGGCCAATAAAGTACAAATATTTTCTGAAAACCTGGTTAAAGGAGGACAGAGCTTATTTGTAACAATACACATTCCTCACCATTGTCCTCAACTGACTCATCTGCCTCTGGTTTGGACTGCAGAGATGTGAGAGACACTGATGTCAGGGTGTCAGAGCCATTTGACAGTGCACTTTTATGGGCAGCCAGCTCTTGCAGGTCACTCTCTGAGACCTCCTCAAATGACTCTGTGCCACTGCCTTCCAGTGTCTTTGTGTCTGATGATGTCCTACTAGCGTCATCCTTAGGCGGGCAAGCATATGCTACAACACAAAGGAAGGAAAAGTATGCTCTGAAGGTATTTCTTTTATAGACTAGGTAAAGGAGGCATTCCAGAGAATAACAGTGTGTGTGTGTGTGTGTGTGTGTGTGTGTGTGTGGGGTGGGGTACAGGTATGTGTGTTTGCACCCCACACACAAACAATCCTTCCATAAAACTAAAGATATAAACTTTAAAATACTTTTCATTGGACTTACTGTACACCTCTTAACCTCTATGGGACGGCCCATTTAAATTCCGGTAGTGGCAGCAGGACGGAGTTAATTTAAATGCCTGCCATTGTAGAGTAATAAAAATTGTAATAATGTTACTCAAAATGCTGTGATTTCTACAATTTTTGTGATAAACGAACGAAATAAACGCTACTTTTATCTAGAAAGTATATAGAATCAGATATTGTAATTTACAGATTTTAGAATCTGTAAAAATTGTTACACTGATTCCAAAAAAAAAATTTCCCCAATTTTGAGCATCTGTCTACAAAAATGCATAAAGCTTCTGCACAAAACCTTTCTGCAGTATAAATGCATGCTGCTGTGTGTTATCTGGAGGAGAGAGAATGTTTGTTTTCATTGCACATTCTCCAGTCAGTGGCTTCTTGTATACATGAGTGTGGGTGAGTTCTTATCCCTCTTATTATTATTATTTGTCCATATGAAACTGTGTCTGTTTATACTCAGACTATCCACACAAGAGTTACTTCTTGGAATATTCCCCTCAATGCCCCTTGTGTCCTCATCCTCTTCCCTTCATAACCAACAGTACCGCATTCTGAATGGTGTGATTTATGAGTAGCCTCTCAATTTCGGCTTGTTCCATGCGAAATGGGGCCATGGTGCATAGTTGAAATTGTGATGTTTTATAAGCGATACGAATACAGGAGACCACTCGCCATCATTGGCCTACTTCCTGCTAATACGAGACAGATGTTGTGTGTGTGCACTTCGCTTGGAAAACAGAGTTACATACGGACAAAGTGCATGAATTGCGACGCTGGACTCTGCATTCAGTTACATGCAACATTCAGTTAGATGATGCAGGAGGGAAGACAGTCTACTTATAAAGCTGGTGTCCAAAAATAATGTAGAAAGGCCCCAACATGGCCCCTTTCTTCTACGTGCTTTCAGTCTTATGGTGTGTCTGAATGGTGTGATTTACGAGCGGCCTCTCAATTTTGGCTTGTTCCATGCAAAATAGGGCCATGGTGCACAGTTGAAATTGTGATGTTTTATAAGCGTTACGAATACAGGAGACCACTCGCCATCACTGGCCTACTTCTTGCTAATATGAGACAGATGTTGCGTGTGCGCACTTCGCGTGGAAAATAGAGTTACATATGGACAAAGTGCATGAATTGCGATGTTGGACTCTGCATTCAGTTACATGCAACATTCAGTTAGATGATGCAGGAGGGAAGACAGTCTACTTATAAAGTGGGTGTCCAAAAATAATGTAAGTAGAACAAGAATTTGTATCTTAAAATTAGATTTTAAAACACTGTGCGCACGCGTAGACTGCGCATACCCATACGGTGTCTTTCGGCCACTTGGCTTTACTTTAAAGGTCCCCATATGGTGTCTTTCGGCTCATAAAGGTTAAAGATATACAAATTTGGATTTCACAGGGCACTGCAGTAAAGTGAGACATCATGATTTACTGCAATGCACCTGGACTGTGATTTAATTCCATTATTGGATAAGAATTGTGGGAGCTGCCCACATTCAAACAAGTGTGACAATGCAAGGTTCATTGCTTAGCAACCGCTGTTTACTCGTCGTTGCCGCCTCGGCTGTCCGGCGGTCTCACACCCGACTCACTGGGCAAGTCGGCTGCCTCGGACTCACCGGCGGTCATGCCCGACACACGGGGAACTGGCGTAGCTACCGCCTCACCACTCCAGCGACTGCGCTGTGCAAGCAAACCTTTTCCTGATCGCTTCAACAGCTGAGCAACCATCTCCGTGGGGGGGTGATGTGGGAGCTGCCCACAGAATCATACAAACCACTTGGAAGAATGTGTGATACCACTGAACTAATCAGAACAGGCCAAAAGAAACTTACCTATGGGCAGTGGAACACCAAGTAACAGGAAATGTTAAATTTTAAATTACACAAACTTTCAATAACAGAGAACTAGAAATACATCTATTGTCTATTTACAATTATACTTTAAACTGGAACCAAAGGTTTATAAACACTTTATACATATCAATACAACATGGTAACGTAGGGTCCACATTGATATTTGCATATGCAAACATGGAAACACACACCCTTCATACAGCGAATCATGAAGCCAAATGGTAGCAGGGGATCCATAAGACACAGGAGTCTTGAGGGAGATGGTACAATCGACACCAATACTGGCACATAGGCCAGAAATAACCCAGATGGGGGTCGTATACCAAGCTCGATACACTTCATAGCCACACCAATGTTGAGGTTTGCTCCTGCTGAGTCCCCTGCAAGAATGGACATAAATACTCAAGATCTGTTCACTGTAATCCAACATTTACGTGACATCAAATTTTTAAGGGGGGGAAGTTCTGTAATTTTTAGGTGAAACATTTTTTTGACTTGAATACTGAACAAAAGAAGACTAAGTAAGTAAACTTAAAATCTTCCTATGTGTCTGAAATTATTTAATATNTTTTGGAAGTTCTGTAATTTTTAGGTGAAACATTTTTTTGGCTTGAATATTGAACAAAAGAAAAGTAAGAAAGTAAACTTAAAATATTCCTATGTGTCTGAAATTATTTAATAAACATCTTTCATACAATACATTACATTACCAGTCAGCTTAAGGAGCATCATCTTCACCATACTAAACTTAAAGAAAATCTCAAAATGGAATTAGAAAAATGTTGTCCTGCACCTAAGCACCATGCCATGAAGGTAATAAGGGAAGTGGAGGCAAAGCTTCATGCATTCTCAACTCTCACTGTGGCGAAAGTGACTGGTCAGCTTCACACTCTGGCATCCACTTGAGAGGAGGCTGGGTGGGTCTCACAGTGTCTGGATGTGACAAACAGAGAAATGCTGCCCATGCCAGAAACTGAAACCTGGTCTTCCTGCCAATACTCAATCACTTTACTGACAATATAATCCCAGATCCTAAAATATTACATAGCAAATACATATATTAACTGAGAAGCTTTATATCAAGAACTAAAATAAGAGGAAATGCCATGAACAGTCAGTCATTAACTGTAAACCGCCACCATGTGGAGCTCACAGCAAGTTCACATTCAACCAATGACTGGACACAATTATCCACCATCTATTTCAACACACAAGACAATCAAATATATAAACTAATTATGATTTAAGTCACTGACCTATCTTTGTCCAAGACTTCTACTTGATTCATTCATTCATTCATTCATTATTAGAGGGGGTGGGTTTCCCCATGCACTTAGACCAATTATTGGTCCTTTGTGTGTCCCCCTTTAATTTCTACTGTCCCCATACCCTACTGGTACTGGTGCTTTGCTATCAGCCCCACTTTGCCAGCGAGGTCGGCCCTCTTCTGGCACTTGGTACCTGATGCTTCAGCCCCACTTTGCCAGCAAGGTCGGTCCTCTTCTGGCACGTGGTACCTGATGCTTCCCCCCTCTACCAGAGCATTGGAAACTACTTGGGTGGGAAACTTTTTGCCTAATTTAGCTCAGAGGTCTCCTAGAGACGTGAGGACCTTTTACGTGCCGTAAATTTATGACACGGGACACATGGCTTAAAGTCCCTCCCGCAGGACTTGTTCCCTGAATTTTTCCGCCCTTAAAAATTCCACAACCTTGAGTCAGGAGGTGGGAACATTACCCCTAGACTACGGAGGCCGCTAACCATAACCCTTAAGTTCACATAAACAATCATGTGTTACTTTTTACAACCTGAGAAATAATGCCTTGATAAAGTCCCTCTGTAAAACTGCACAGCTGCAAATGTGGCCACTTTATCAGGATAATGTGTTCTGCTTCTTGTTCTCTGCATGAACTTTGTCATAACTCACATGCATTTTGATACTCTACATGACAAAGAATATAACTCCAGTTTTTGCTACAGCCCACAGTGAATGCCCTGATCTCTTACAGTTCTGAACTACCCAAAAGCCATTCCACAAAGTTCTTACAACCAAAAGTATCAAACTTTGAAAGTTCCTAGGCTGGACAAAAATGTAGAAGTTTCTGCAAATATTCTTGTAAATCAGAATGAAATGATGTAAAACCTACTTTTTGGCATGTCTGTTTCTTCAGTTAACAGTTGTACAATAACCTGAGGTTATTACAAAGACAACCAAAAATATCATAGATCTGTAATAACAGCAACATATTAAAAGGTTTTTCTCCCCATCTTCATCTTCCTCAGATGCTTCTTTATGCTCTTTCAGGCCACTATCAGCTTACATCAGTCAACAGGACAGAAGTTTAAAACTCTGCCACTGGCACTCCTTGTTCAGATGGGATGTGCTGACAGCTGCCTCAAAACTCAACTGTCTTACTGCATTACTAAGTTTGTACTGTTAAAATTTCTGCTAAATACCCAGATGTGTACTGTTTCTTCATGCCAAACATATTACTCTGCTCTGTGGAGTAATAGAGATGTGACAATTGTGTACTGTGAATTTGAGTTCATAGTGTTCAACATTACTTTATTACGCTGCAGAAACTTTTATTTCATTCTCAGATATAAACATCTGGTTCCCAAAGTGTGGTCTGCAGACATATGGGGTCAGTGAGCTTAATTTTGCCTTTCTATTACAAGAAAAAATATTGTACTGAATATTTTTAATAGTTTATAAAATCTGTTAATCTGGAATAATGGTGTAACAAACATTTTTGATATAAAATTGCTTATGGATATCTATGCTAGGTACAAAGTGGTGGCTCAAGTAATGTGGAGGGAAAGGGAGGTCATTCAATGTGCAGTGTCTCAAAATGGGTCTGCAGACTCAAAAAGTTCCAAGAACCACTAACCTAGAATAACAGGGACACACCTCAAAAAACCAAAATTTTACAGGGCAGCTGTTTGAAGTTTTTATGTATATAAATGCATGCATGAAAAACACTTAGTGAAACTGAAAATTTTACCTGCTTAAAAAAAACATGTACACATCTCTCTGTCTTTTTGACAGAACAACAACTGCATTCAGCTACACCTACTCATCAGGAAGCTTGACCACTCTGCCTTCTAACAAAATACTGAGCATATTTATGTCAGTGACAACATGATTCATTTGTATTTGGAAGACACCTGGACCATGAAAACTGCAGTCTTCAGTTTCTGAAGCACTCTCCCTTCTTACTACAACTCACCAACAAGGATGACTTTTTCTGCTGTGGAGCCCATAATGCGGGCATTATTGATGGCCCAGCAATATGCATACAATGTCTCCTCCAAGGCCCGAGGGAAGGGCGCTTGTGGGGCCAGTGAGTAGTCAATGGACAGTATGGGCACTTTCAGCTGACAAGCCCAGTCTCGCAGGTATATCTCATGTGAGCGGGAACTCTGTGCTACAAAACCCCCGCCGTGGCAGTGGATAATGAGCCCAGAAGATGGGGGCAGCATATTAGGCACATGCTCCTTCAAGTCAGTAATCTGGAACAATTCAGACTGCATCACCTGGAGCAAAATAACTGATTTCATGTAAGAAAAAGAGAGTTGCAAAATTTCATAAAAATCAACTGCAATGGACTTGCAAAAAAATTATTACTTGAAGTGGCAAATATCAAAACTGACATTTGTGAAAATGAGTGGCAAATTATATTGTCACATGTTGGGTATATGTCATACGACAAATAACTTCATGTCATCTTGGATATAGCGAATTTATTCCACATTCGCTCGTACACTTATATAATTCACAATTTCCCAATTACTGCCATCAGCAGCATCACAAATACTTATCCTGTTTCCATTCACTCCAGCGAATGCTAGACTGCAACTGGCTGGTTACTCTCTCTCTAGTAACTGGCTCAATACTCACTATTCCTGAAGAGTATTCACTGCTCCTTGTTTAGGCTCAGCATGGACAACATAGAGAACACCTTGCTGATCGGCAACAGATATCAGGTATTGTTGTCAGGTGTTTCTACCTATGTATTGCCTAGCAATAGTCACTGCACGGAATCACCTGTTGCGTGACGTCACAGCCTCACGGGGAGGGGTGTTTACCGAGCGTTGTGTAATGATAGGAGTGGGGTTACGTGATGTCACTCATGGAAATGCAGAGTCATGTGACCCCTACTTCCTGTTGCACCATCCACGTCACAATATTATCATTTATAATATTATATCTACAACTCTTATATCTTCATATGCAGTTGTCTTGCAACGGGTCCTATTATAACATAAAAATGTTGCCTTCCTAATTGGCATTTTTCTATAATCTAAAATAACTGAAGAGCTTCAAGGGAAGAATATACTTGAACGAAATAGACACAGATGTAAGGACAATATTAATATTAAGTGTAAGAAAATGTGAATTTGACTGATTTGCTCAGGAAACGGTCAAATTTCAGGCTCTGGAGATGGTAGTAAAAGATAAAGGTAAAGCTATCCTTGTAACAGGCCATGAAGGCCCATAGGGTTGTAAAATGTCGAGGTTCCCACATTTTCTAGACAATCGGCTCACAGTTGGCGGTAAGGTTGTGAGCCTTATGAACTGGCAGTCCTTTACTCCCCAGGATTCCTGGTACTCATTTCTGTTTAAGCTGAGTTGACCCCAGGGCCATAGTGTGGTTGGAAGGATCAGGTAAATTGAAAAAAAACTCACCAAATCGGGACTCAAACCTGTGACCTTACAGTTTGTAGGCTACCACATGCCCCTGGAGATGGTGATCACAAAACTTAAGTTCCAAGACAGCAAAGAATGTTAATATCTTTTCTCTGGCTCTAACATACCATGCCTTCTCGCGTGACAGCAGACAAGAAGCGAGCCATGATTGGTGCTGGTCCAAAGTGGGCTGTTGGAATGGGCACAGAAATAGCACTTCCATCTGGTGCCATATGCACCAGTGGTTCAGGTGGAATGGCAATCACTTTGTTGACTGCAACTGCTGGACACACCATGCCAGGGAGCCTCCCCATAAGTTCTGAGACACATCAAGTTGCACTGTGACAAATATCATGTTCATGTAACCTGCAGTGATCATGGAAACAAAACACCGAATGAATCACCTCAATAACAAACTGCATACTTTCTAAATTAGATCTGTCAAACCAAGATTAATTTCGCAGACTACGGTGATTTAAATAATAATGAAAAGTAAAGTTGTCCATGTGCTTAATTAAGCACCATGCCATGAAGATATATGGGATAGTGGAGGTAGAGCTCCACCATTCTTGACCCTGGCATTAGATGGAGATGAGCAGTCAACTTCATGCCCCGGCCACTTTACCCTGTAGAAGGAGCCCCCAGTATTCACTGGATATGAGGCTGGGTGTAATCCAGAGCCAGTGTGGATGCTGCAGAGGACAGAAAAATTTCTGACCCTGCTGGGAATCAAACCCCAGCTATCCAGCCTGTTGCTATACTGACTGAGCTAACCTGACACCCCAATTTTAATAACATGTGGAAATGATGTATTCTGCAAATGAACAGAGTGCACTGTGTTTTTCTTCATGTCCCCCATGTAAGTTATATGCACAGTTCAAATTTGGCAGCACCCAATGATGTTCTACTACAGGCATGTCACTCTCAACTTGTATAGAGGGCCACCTCGGCCCTATAAATAGTCCAGGGCCACACTTCAAAATAGAAATATACATTAGATTTTGATACAAGGAAATTTAATTCTATTTATTATTTGGGAATAATTTCAATATAATTACCTAAAGTGGAACACTTATATTTTGCCCAAAAATCAAACATGTAATTTTACCTTCTATTTCACAATAAAAATAAGAGATTTCCCATTTTTGTTGAAAAACACAGCGCTCACTTTCAGTAGTCCTTTTTTTGCTACTTGAATCTTTTGAAAGTGACATTGCCCTTTAAAAGTTAATGTACATATACAAGAAAACTCGTAGTTGATAATTTAATGTCTAATTATAACCTTTATACGTTCATCACAATGTAACATCAGCACTGGTCGCTGTGTGAAAATGAACTGAATGACAATGTACAAGAGACTACCGGACTAGTAGGAAGATGTATCTTGTCTCAATGGTCATAAAAGTGAAAGTTTGCTAGCAGCCCATTAGACAATGGCTGGGGGTTGCAAGCTAGTTTTGAAGGTAGAAATCCCTTGCACTTGTCTGTCAGTTGCCACCCTCCTTGCATTCTTACTATGCCTCCAAAAGGGATTCTTGGAAATACTTGGCGTGGTGAGGCTGTGCGGATTTTAGTGCATTAACCTTCTGAAATACAATAGTTTGTCCTTCACGAACTTTACAAACCGTTAGTTGGACAAACCCTTCTGCAATTCTCAGAATCACTTTTCCTGCAGCCTGCTAATTTATGTCTGCGTGAGACTTCTTGTCTTCTGGTCTGTTGGAAAATTGTCTTTACAAAAAATATTTCTACTAAAATTTTAATATTGATTTTAATATCAATTAGCTCTAAAAGTTGAGGGGCCGCACTTTGTGGCTATGGGGACCACATGTTTGACATGGCTGTTCTACTATAAATGATATCCTGTGCAAAACCTACCCCCCTCTTCTTCATCCTCCTGTAAGTGCTCCTCTCATATCTGCTGTTCTTTCCCTGCCTATCTTTTATGTATCTTCCTTCACCTGGTATCTCCAACAGTTCTTTTCTGATTTCTGTATAAAATTCATTTCTACATCTTGTAATCCTGGCTATCTATCTCTTACTCAATGTCCATATTTCTGTTCCCACATGTTAAAACAGGCCATAAGTATATTTAATATAAAACAAAAAAAAAACTGTCATTTTAGTCTGCAAGCGAACTATACCGACCTAGCGACCGCCACTTGTTGCCGAAATTAGTGCCAACTTTTGTGAATAGAGGGTGTCACGTGGTCAGCGCAACGAATCCCCATGGCCGTTAATTTCGGTTTTGTAGACCGGAATACAAGCTGGAAGGTCACAGGATCAAATCCCGATTAGGTAATTGGATTTTTTTTCCAATTACCTAATCCTTCCAGATGCACTATGGCCCTAGGATCAACTCAGCCTCTAACAGAAATGAGTACCAGGAATATTCTTAGAATGTTCTTGGGAGTAAAGGGCAGCCAGCATGTAAGGCTGACAACCTTACTGCAATCTATGGGCCGACTGTCTAGAAAATGTGGGAACCTCAACATCTCACAACCCTACGGGCCTCCACGGCCTGTTACAGGGATATTTAATATAACATAAATTTAATGTTTTGTGGTATTTTCCAGTCCTAAGCAGTATCTTTGGCAGATCACAAAATTCTTTTTGTTTACAATTTTCCATATTGTGAAAATTTGAAAGATCTCTGGACCTTTATTTCTAAAGCAATGTTGTATATTTACATATTAGTCATTCATAACTTGTTTATGATCTGGCTTAGCACATTTATTTACACAACATCTTTATAAACTACAACAATAATCCTCCAGCCATCAGAAATGTTTTGTTTCCAAACAGAGTGCAGTACTGTCCATTGAGTTAAGTGGGAAGTTAGTTTATGCTATCACTATGGTAACTTGCAAGGTGTCAGGAATTCTGAAAAAGGCAACTAAAAAGATGTACTTCAGCTGCAATATGCTCAGCTAACCAACAGGTGACATCAGACCACATAGTAAAAAAATTTTCTACCTACAAAAAAGGGTAATCCGAATCATAGAAGGATATGGGAATAGGGTTTCTTGTAGAGACTCATTTAAAAAACTTCATATCTTGCCTTTAAAATCTCAATATTTATTGTCCCTGCTTATTTTTGTAGCTAAAAATAAAGATCTTTTTACAACAAATATTGAAAGTCACAGTGTGATAACTAGGCATGGTAATAATTTGTATATTCCACAGGTTAATCTAGCCATCTATCAGAAAGGAACTTATTATTCTGGAATAAAATTTTACAATAAATTACCTTCCAATATTAAGAATGTTAGTGACAATTTAAAAATTTTTAAATCTACTCTAAAAAGATATTTACATATGAATACATTTTATACATTAGACGAGTTTCTTGAACATGAATCTTGATCATTAATTGACTGTCATTTTACGCTTAATTTACTATGTATATATTACCTGTATTACCTATTCTACTCTGTTAAGATTATGTTAATATTTATTGTACATATATCAATTGATACTTTATATTTATAGTTTTGGATATTTTAATTCTTATTTTATATAAAATGGCTAATTGTTATGACATTGCACAATTGTTATGCAGTATGTAATTACGCTTACTCATGTTGACTTCTTCTATATCCATGTTCATGTATTCATGTTTTTGTAAATATTTATATATGGCTACTGTTATGACATTGCACAAATGTGATGCAGTATGTAATTATGCTTACTCATGTTGACTACTTCTATATCCGTGGTGTTTTGAAAAAAAAACCATGTAAGGATTTATGGAATGCTGAATAAATATCAAATATCAATATCAATATCAGACTGCTTTTAACAGATGAAGCTAGAGGAGTAATTAAACTGGTATATAACAAATCCAAATTAACATCCTTAATTTATTTAATGTAACATCACAAACAGAATAATGATATTCCTTATTTAATAACATTCTACATATCTCAGTTCATCTTTGTGAATGTCCAAATATTTTCCTTAGAATATTGTTTTAAGAAACTGATTTATATTTTCACCTCAGAACATAATGCCAACTACCATCAAAAATATCTGTGTACAAATGTTTATATATATTTAACCTCGTCACGACAGTGCACATGATATTAAGGTGTGAAAGTACTACTAGTTACACCACTGCCCCCTCCCTTCCAATGAAATTCCTTGGAGTGACAGAGAAGAAAATTTGACAAAGACATGATTCTTTCACAAAATTCATTATTTGTCAGTAATTGTGTTTAAAGTATCTCATGGCGGTCCATTCAACTTCCAGAAGTATCATATCTTTATTAAACTTTATATGCCCATCCTTTTCATAAAATTTTTCTCTTCTTCCTTAGCACAAACCATCTGAGAAAGATCCTCCCCATGTTCTTTCCAGCTTCATGACCACAAAAGGAAGAGAGTAACAGTATTTATTTATCCTATGACATAATCAGTTCTGTTACAGTTCATACACACTCCCATTTTAAACGTCAAAAGTGGTCATATAGCAAATTACAGACTAAACCAGAATTATTAACATCATCTCATTTACATGTTACAAACCTGTCTCTGCCAGGAGCCAGAAAGATTTGCAGAAGTTGACAGAAGCATGCTGGGAAATGTTGACAATTCTTCGAGCTCGCAGTTCAGGATCCAAGAGATACTTTCCTCCTGTAAAGTTTCGTACAGTCATTCATTAAATCTACTGAAGCATATATTCACAAAACTAAATTCAGAGCTGATTCTCCTCTATACTCATGCATGAATATGTTACATAAGTATGACAACTGGCTTTCTTTGAAAGCATCAAACATAAAGATGGAAGACAAATGACTGGGAGGAGAGACCAAGTAAGGAAGGATATACAAAAGGCNGTAAAATATAGATCCATGTTAACATAATCCAATTTCAGAACTTAGTTTCTCTTGTAACTCGCCTGATGATGACCTAGAAAAGGTATAAACATTTAGTGTACACTAAATACAAGGTGGTTCAAATATGACCGGGACTGATTTGTGTGTAAACAAGCTGCACTGCGCAGCAGCTGTGTGACCTTGAGAGAGTGAAGCCACAACCTCCACCCTCCATCCTGTTAGGGTTACAACCTATTCAGTCCTGCCTGGGAATTGCTAGAGTGATAAGCGAGAAGAAGATACCATGGAGCGTGGAACAATGCATTGTGATCAAATTCTTCGTTGGAGAAAACGTTCCGTCCGCTGAAATTCACCACAGACTCCAACAACAGTATGGGTAAGAGTGTCTCTCACGGACCTGTGTGTTTGAGTGGTGTAAGTGCTTCAGCGAGGGCAGAGAGCGTGTCGAGAATGAACCGCATGATCGTCGGCAGCGAACATCCGTCACCAAGCCAAACATTGATCGTGCAGACGCGCTTATTCATGAGAATAGGCGCATCACTATCAAGGAACTTGGAGCAATGCTGTCCATCAGTGCTGGTAGTGTAGAAGACGTCGTGAAATACCACCTGCATTATCGCAAGGTGAATGTACGGTGGGTACCACGCACTTTGATGGATGTGAACAAAATGGTGCGCATGCAAGCTGCCAGTCGTCTCCTACAGCAGTTTGAAGACGAAGGTGATGCATTTTTTAAGTCTATAGTGACCGCCGATGAAACATGGGTGCACTACTTCATTCCCGAGTCCCAGCAGTCATCATGCAAGAGACAGCATACCCGTTCTCCAAAACCCAAGAATGCGTGGAGGAGCCGTTCAGCAGGAAAAGTGATGGCAACGTTCTTCTGGGACTGGCAGGGGGTTATCCATGTAGACTTTCTGACAGATGCCAGAACAGTCAATCCAGCTTATTACTCAGACCTCCTGGCAACACACGTGAAGGAAAGGATCCGATCAAAGTGGAAGACACGTGGAAAGCGGGTAGCCTTCCTTCAAGACAATGCACGCCCCCATATGGCCAAAACAATGGAAACCCTGCGGAAACTGAAATGGAACCTTCTGACACATCTGCCACACATTCCCGATTTGGCCCCAAGTGATTTCCGCCTGTTCAGAAGGCTCAAATCAGACTTGCAAGGCATGCAAAATTTTAAAATTTTAAAATTCTCAGGGTTACTCGCCCTATGTCTATAGTGCTGCAGCGGCTACTTCTTGTTTTCAGCACTGTACAGGTGTTATTCTGTGTAGGCCCCCTGTGTGCATGCCGCTGCTTATCTTTACACGTTCCAAAAGTGAACAGTAATACTGCACATTGACGGTCTTCTGTCGGGGAACAATATGTGTTAGGATAACATCATCACTGTCGTAAACGAAAATCACCATAACTTTCACATTGCTGGGGTTCTGATGAACTTTTGATTTTCGTGGTGACCTGTAATGACGTCATTCATTCAATTGGCGTTTCATTTGTGGCTCGTACGATTTGGCCCATGTCTCATCCAGCGTAATGATACGGCATAAGAAAACCTCTCCTTCGCGTTCTTTGCACTCCAAGTGGTTACGAGCAGCGTCGTATCGTAGCCATTTCTGCAGTTCCGTCATATCATGTGGAACCCATCGTGTTGCAATTTTTCTCATGCTCAGTCATTCCTTCAGAACTTGAAGCAAAGTCGTATGTGCTAATCCTGTCTCTCGGGCCAGCTCACGAATTGTATGGCGTCGATCACTCTCCAGTAATGCGGAAAGATCATATACATCTTCACTGACACTAGGATGACCTGGCCGACGCATGTCTGCCACATTTTGGCATCCCTCGTTGAAGGCTTTTACCCACCTTTCCACTGTTCTGTAAGGCAATGCAGATTCCCCTCATGCCTATTGAAGACCTTGATGACACTGACATGCTGTACGGCCTCTGGCACATTCAATCTTTATCCAACTTCATGGTTCCTGCTTCAAAAACATCGTAACAACACTACATTAGACCGCCAGCTAACACAAGGCTCTGTTCTTCTCGTCACTGCACATGTGCATGATGTGGTAAGGGAGAGTCCATTTGCTCTGAGGTAAGGTAGGTATGTAACTAACGTGTGGTATAAGCGACATTATTTGGATCCGTTGCATGGCTTCTCTACAGCAGTGTTTCCACTATTAAAGTTCCAACCCTCATATGCAAACTATTAAAATAAGAAACATATACAATGCTTCATAAGAAAAGCATCAATTTAAAGGCAGTGAAACTACCTGCAGTACTGAAGTTCCAGAGACAAAATTAAAAAAGTCTGAGATATTGCAAAAGACAGTTATTAGAATTATAACAAATTCTAGACCAAGAGAGTCTTGTAGGGACATTTTTAAAAATTTGGAAATAATGATGTTCTACTCTCAGTACATATATTCATTACTTTTATACACAATTAATAATAACCATTTATTAAATTGTAACAATGAGATTCACAAGTACAAAAACTAGAGCCCTCAATAATTTATATTTACCTGCAGTTAACCTAACAAAATACAATAAAGGTGCGTACATATCCGGTATTAAAGTTTTTAATCGTCTTCCTCAAACAATAAAATTGTTGCCTATTGATGTGAGAAGTTTTAAATCTGCATTGAAGAGGTTTTTATATCATCATTCTTTTTATTCCATGAATGAATATTATCAACATAATTGGTCATAAGTGTGTAAATTTGTAACGTATTTAATACAGTTAATTGTATTAATTCAAAGTTTATAGTAAGTTATTTTTAAATTATCTTATTAAATTGTTTACTTTTTATTATTATTCATGTTAATCGATTAATGTAAGTAATTTTGATTATGTGACTCATGTAATTTTGTATATGTAACTTGATATATCTATTATCAAAGGGACCATTTCCATATCCTAGGTTAGTTACCTGTATGGATATAAGGAAAATAAACGAAATCAATGAACAACATAAAATCAGTGTCCTACTCATTGTGGACCCTCCAAAGAACTGCTGTGATATCTATAAAAATGTCAATGGAATGTTTCTCCAGTATCATTAAAAACGTAATGCTCAAACAATTACAACAATTTTTGTGAAAAACAAACAAAACAATGCACAACAATAGAAACTGAATCCCAATAACTGCTGAATCATGCAGTCCATGAACCAACATGCACCAACCCTCCAATGTTGCCAGCTGCTGAACAATAATATCAATCCAGTTATTTAACTGACAGACCCATACATCTTCAATAAGAATAGCACAATTTTTGCTCACATTTTTCAGAGAGTATGTTTTCTTGAGTTAAAATCAAATGTTACAGAAAACTGTACAAACATATGTGGCAACTGCCTCAATGTGATACTGATACATCTGATAAAAATACATAACTGGGCCCACTTTCCTGCTCTCATTAACACATCTGGTTCTCCTGCAGTCTCATTTTTTTAAGATAAAGGTAATTCATACGAATATTATGTCTCACATAATTGTACTGGCTGGATTACCTGTCCATACAGAGCTGGTAGCTCGAGCTAACAGGCCTCCATTCCCGTAGTAGATCTCGCTGAAAGATGCCATGCAGATGGAGATGGTCTTAAGTATTTTACGCATTGACTCACAGAACTGCAGCAATAGAGAGAGGGGCATCACTGAGTTATCAGACCCAGATCTTGTACAGACAAGAATGGATTTCCTACCATGCTAACAGGTCAAGAAACAGCTGATCACAGTAACACAATTCTCCACACAACTAATGCACTTCCTAAAACGTTGTTATTTATAATTTTCATGCATCTCTTAAACTAGGATTTGTAAGTTAACTGGTAACAAGAAAATAGCTTCCTTGTTGGCCTACTTTCCTTAGTCATTTGTTCATAAAGTGATTACAATAATGATACAAATTCTCTAAACACATTTACAGCCTCTCTCACTATGAAATACTATTTGTCTATCATTGGTTATCATGAAAATATAAAAAAGAAAAATCTCCAGTCTCCAAGCTCAGCATATTCCATTTTCAACAAAAATTACCTTAAGAAAGAGAGGATGTTTTTAAAAACCACTATCTCAGTACAAAATTTCATAAGAAGCACAAAAGTTATCCAACATTTCCATGTTAACCTTGTCACTTCCATACATAGTTCAATAAAAACTGGTGAGATGTTCCAATGAAAAAAGTTCGTTCATGGACAAATATATAGCAGAATATTCTAACTGTACCTGGAACCCCAGGCAGCGTCCATAAAAACAGTACATGTTGATGTCCTCCACATGTTTCAATAGAACTTCTGTAGAATGCTGTTCATCTGGAAACAACTGCCCCTCTGTGTTCCATGAGATGAGTGTCTGGAGATGCGTTATGCAGGTTCCTAGAGAAGCAAGTAGATGGCTACATGCCTCCACCTCCCTGCAATATTCAGTTACATTGCTGTCTGCTGGAAGGTTTACAACTACAGAAGTGAACATCAAGTTCTATCGTGAATACTATGCCATAAATTTATAGGAAATGTCATATATATCTTACTGGCTACAGTATGGATTTACTCCAATGACTTTAAATGTAGTACTGCAGAAAATTACGAGAAATACAAATCACAACAGCAAGTGACAGTGTCTACTTAATTATGTGATTCTTAATTTCTATTTCTATATCCACTGGTCTTCCAGCCATGTAAGGATCTATGGAATGTAAATAAATGAATGGACGAATATTATTACTGTTACTGGTAGTCTCTTGGGTTTACAAAACTGTTTCTTTAAACCTATTTTACACTCATCAATGTTTTGGTCGTCTAAAAATGCACATCATCGGAACCTGAAAACATCATGAATGGTAAGCTGTGATGGACATAGGAGGATGGCATAGTTCAAAATACTATTTTGGTATGGCGTGAGGTTGTCACAGCAATGGTTATTAATAGTTGTATCTTCTAAGGTATAACACCATGCAGGCCACTGAGAGTCGACTGATTTTCCTCTGAAATACTGACCTACACAAATGATGAAACAAAAAGAAAAAAAACTCCATGGCATGTAGTCTGCAAGTAAACTATACAGACCAAGCAACCACCGCTAGTCAGTGAAGTTCATGCCAACTTTAGCGGATAGAGGGTGTCACATGGTCTGTGCAACAAACCCCCACAGCCGTTAATCTCAGTTTTCTAGACCAGAACATAAATGATGGAAATCCACAATAAACCTTAAGCAGCATTAGCCAGTTCCCTGTATGAAATTCAAACTTAACACCTCTGCAACATACACACGGTCATATTTAACTATGACAGAATGCATTACTAGCCTGGTATTATTCTTATAGACATATCTAACAGCATTATGAAGCCATACTGCTCTTAAAGTTAGGCAAGACCCTACCGCCCTCAAGCTATTACTGTGATAACATTCACTGCACATGATCAAGCGAAGGACATACATCAGTAAATAGTGTGGTTACATTTGACTTTTTGTATGAAAAAAAGTTTTGACAGCCATATTATTTACTAACTTAAGTCTGTAGTTGTACTATCAAAGTTGGAACAAATACATATTTATTCACACAAGAAACGTTTTTGTGAGTGCAAACTTAGGCAGAGGAGACAGATGTTCCTACCACCAAACTGGCCTGACCTATAAAACGTAGGTTTTCTTCATGGAAGGGCCCTCTACAAAACTCACTGTATGGTAAAAAGAATACAGCTGTCCCTGTGCTTAATTATTTATGCACTATGCCATGAAGACATATGGGGAAGTGGAGGTATAGCTCCAACATTCTTGACTTTGGCAATAGACAGATGTGAGTGGACAGCTTCACGCCCTTGCTGCTTTATCCCCAGGGAAGGAACCCCTGGTACCCATTGAATAGGAGGCTGAGTGAACCTCAGAGCTGGTCTGGATGCTGCAGAGGAGAGAAAAATCTTGCATTGCAGGAAATCAAACTCCAGCCATCCAGCCCATAGCCTGACACTATACCAACACAGGTATCTGAAGTTCCAATTCATTGTATGTGAAAATAATATTATGCATCTACAAATCAGAACTGCTTAGGTTAGGTTCAGTTAGGTTAGGTCACTTTAGTTCATGTTTGTGTTAGGCCTAATTTCAAGGTATTATGAACATCCAGTGAAGATCTACTCCTATCCAACCCTTCATTACTTCTTCCCTCACAAGCCCTAGTATCTTAACCAGCACCTTGTTACCAAAACACCTCCAATCTCTGTTCTTCTCTCAAAGTGATGTTAGTTTGACTGTTATTATGGAACACCAAAGAAAACCCTGTTATCTCATATATTCTTGGTTTACTTAATAACACTTTCAGTATTTCAGATTATGTAGTGATGAATGATGTTACCTCATATAGAAGCTCTTCCTGAATAAGAATGAATCCCTGCTGTCACACACAAGCCTGCTCAGCTTCACCCCATGCTGCACACACATATCAACTGTAGACACAAAGCTGCGATATCCATTTCCAGGTGTGTCTTCATCAAAATCAAACTGGGGAGCTACATTCCTGACTTCATCCACCATTGGTGTGATCATGTCGACTTGGTCTATTAATGCCAGAAATCCAGCATGCAGCCTCTGACCATTTTCAGTCTCATCCTGTTGGAAGAACTGTGCATTGTTCATACAGAGGTCCTTCAAAACTTGGTACATAACATAAACTGGTGAGGAGGTTACCTCACATGGCGCACAACTATCACATTCTTCACTGTCTCTCATAATTGCAAATGTGGCCCGCAAAAAAAAATGATCGTTTAAACTATAGTTACATCACGTACACATCCAGAAAACTGGGCAACTTCTCTTCTCGGTTAGAAAAGAAGTGAAACTATTAAAACATACGATATCCATTTACGATTGCACTGCGGATTATCGATCACTAACAATTACAAAATATGGGGCACTGTTTTAGCAGATATTTCTCCCACAATAATTCTGTCATAACTGAACATATCAGAAACTTTGCTGTTCTTCTCTCACCTGCGACGTTTTACGTCAACATCTCATCCACATATAACCTTCCACACCAGGATCACTAAATACCAAATAAACTGCCACTATTCTATCATGTATTCGTTACTAAATAGTCTGCAAGCAAAGTCTTTCAAACATATAACACACTTCATTCACTCATACCGACGATACCGACTGAATAGCAGCCACGGATAACCGAGCAGACGACGAGGACATTCGATTGCAAAAGTTTGTTGAACTGACCGTAATATCTTACGAATCAAAAACTGTTATTTTATGAGCCACATAACGACGTATTGACACTTCGCTAATGGTTTATTTCCAACAGGGAACAAATGCAACAATGTTCATACAAAATGTACAGGCGCAAAGTTAACAAGATAATATGCTATAAATCGTTTTTATTTACGAATTCCTCCTCACAACATATACATAATTTGAACCCCTCTCAGAAGTTTCCGACATCTATCCAAATTTTGAAATCTCCAAAAATCAATAACTTGTAGAATTTAAACGTCTCAATGGTCTCAATTATTACCAAAGAGTAAAAATATTTAAACATCTCAGAAGAAATGTCGAGGGTGTCAGTGATTTGTAAACTATTTTAAAATGGCAAGGACCAATTGCATCCTCTGATCTCTGATGGGTACGAGCGGTACGAGTTCGTGTCATGTATCAATTTAAACTGAATTAACACAGCCTAACAGAACATAACACTCCGGTGCAAGTGTGTAGATAGAAATAAGTGGCTGCAAACTGGACTTTAGCGTAAACGGCGTAAACCATACGTAACACATCCTAACAACGTAACATTACTCAATCTCGCTAATACTGAAGGATGTGTTCTCATTAAAGTTAACTCTAATTATGGTATATTACTTTCTTTGAAATCAAGATTTAAATAGTGTGTGTTTTATTCAGTCTATGTCTGGTATGACGCGCTTTCAGGTTGCGGATGAAGGAGACGCTGCCAGAAATGGAAGTTAGCTGGGTACTTGCTGCAACTATGTTGAATAAGCAGCCGATATTCTCCAGCTTGGGGGTTGGGCGTGGGGAATCGGATACAGCAGAGCCGTTAGTATGTCATCCTAGACCTACTGAGGTTCAAATTGCTATTGCAAACTTAAAAGGTATAAATTGCCAGGTAGTGACCAAATTCTGGCAGAACTGATTCAAGCAGGGGTGAAACATGAACTCAAATTTTATTTCGAATAAGGAAGAAATGCCTGATCAGCGGAAGAAGTATAGTAGTGTACAAATTCACAAGAAGGGCGATAAAACTGTAGTAAATATCGTGGGATATCACTGATATCAACTTCATGCAAAATTTTATCCAATGTCCTCTCAAGGTTAAGTCCTTATACGTATAGGTGAAATTATTGTGCATCATCAGTGTTGACATAATGGATCAAGTACTGATCAGATTTTTTACATTCATCAGATACTAGAGAAAAGGTGGAAGCACAATGAGACAGTCATCATCATCAGTAATCTGTCAAGACGACAGGTCCACAGTCTCTTTCAAAACAATTCCTCCACTTAATGCGATCTAGAGCTTTCTCCTTCAAATGACAGTATCCTCTTCTCTCCCCAAGGTCATCCAGCATCTTCTTACGTCTTCTACCTCGTCTTCTTGTCACTTCTATCCGCCCATCTATCTTTCCTTCGATAGCTTCTTTTAGAAGGCAGTTTCTGCGTAAAACATGACCAATCCAATTAGCCTTCCGTTTTCTTATTTCATGTAGGATATTCCTCTGCTCACTGA